AATCTGATCCCTCTTGTTGAAAGCAAATTTTTACATCTGGGAATATAAACGTTGACATGAATTTGCGACGATCAATCTCAATGTAGTGTTAGAAAGAACTACGAACGCTAACTCTTGATTCCCGACTACATTTTCCCAAAAAAATTATTCAATTCTAATGGCAATTTGGCCACAAAATCTTTGCTGAATGCAAAGAACAATTCAATAGTAACTGATTTTTAAATATATTCGCTAATGAATAAATGTTTCTTTAAATTATCAATCTTTTCTTATACATGTATTTACATTTATAAAGAATCAAATATACAAAGTACTCTACTTTGAAGTCGGTGAAAAATACGCATTTTTGGACGTTTTAGTATGTACATGTAAAAATATGTTCCCAGTGAAAAACCACTGGATTCTATTGACAACAAATAAACACTTGGGAAATGCTAAAAACTGACTTGCGTATAATCAGTTAGATACCTCGGACCTGCTCTAAATAAGTGTCAGCAACGAAATGGAAATATAAGGAATCACTGTCAAGTTTGTTGGGATTCGGCCGTTATGCAAATTATCCCACGTTTTCAACTACTAGTATTGCTGATGCACTGGTATGTCCAACAAACTAGACAGTGATGTCTTAAATATTTATGAAAAATTATTCAAACATATTAACTTTTCAAAATTGACTTCTTGGTAAGCGGGAGAGCAATACTACCGTTCGCAGTTCTCGTTGACTTCAGTTATCTTTGCAAAAATTGTCATGAAAGTGAAAAAAACAAGAAGCTATTGTTTGCTATGTTAATATTCTTTCTGTTTCTATGTATTTATGAATATATATTTAGAATATATGAATTACAATACTTCTGTTATTCATTCAAGCCTTTTGTATTCTTTAAAAGGTCAATGTAAATTTCTTCCAAACTCCACTCACGTCTGCATATGTCATTGTCACGATAACTGTTACCATGGATGTCAGACTTGTGATTTAGGATGGGGTGGATCCAAAAGCTTACATTGCCAAAAAGTATATATGAACTACATAATATAGAATATAAAACAATGAAATTTTATCCCCAATAAAATGTGTGCTTCTACAGTGTATACACAGATATTTCACCTAAGTAATTCTTCACCATCGCTGTGTAAAACCTGTATTTCTTATTTTGATGGACTCAAGTAATGTGTTTTCTCTGAAAGTAAAAAGAAATTTTATCAAACCTTCATTTTCAAAGCCTTGTGAATGAATATCAAACTATGAATTTGATATCCTTCATGTATGTAATCATTAATAATGTAATCATTATTTCTATTTATTGTAGTAAGAGTTTATGAAATATGCCAAATTAAAAAATAAAAAAATCCAGTGCTCCAAACTTAAGAAATATTCAAAATATATACATACTATTTATTGGTGACTTGAGATAGTGAGAAAGTCATTATCAACTTCTATATTCCCGTTTTAATGTCTGCTAATTAAAATAGAAAGCGCATAAAGCATGTGACATTTATCTTTATTTACACACTTTGATTAACCCTTTATATATATATATATATATATATATATATATATATATATATATATATATATATATATATATATATATATATATATATATATATATATATATATAAAGCACTAAAAAACCAACAACACTGTATATCCTAAATGTCGGATCTACTTAGTAGATACAAAGTCACGCATGGAAATTTATACAAAGCACTAAAAAAGACCAACGACACGAACAATTAAAATTGTCAAATTTTCGGGACGCCCTGTCCCTTCCTCAGGACAAAGAAAAAAGTTAAAAAGTCATAAGAACAAAGGAAAAAGAGAAACAAAAACAACTAGCACTACTACTAAACTACTAAACACTAGATATTTACATACTTAATTACATGTTGAATTGGAAATTTTTAAGAACACTTATAAAGAAAGAAATCCGGACCGCTATGAAATGCGTCCGGTCTATCGGGTATACTCGGGTGAAGTGCGATTTACATAATTGAACGAATTAATTATGCTAATTAATTACGACAATCAGTAAATCGTACATTGTTTCATTCTCTCAAAATGGCGTAACTATACTTAATAAAAAATAATGAAAGAAAAATCATATAGTCGGGATATTTAAACACATGAATTGTGATCAATTATAAATTTTGAAATATTTTATGACTTATTATCGGGAAAAAATAATTAACAAAGGCGTAAGCAATACATAGTTATGTGGGTTGTTCGAGAGTTGGTGACGCAAATAAACTGTAGAGTTTACACTAAATTGAGAGAATAAACTTGTTTAGTATGATCAGGAATCGGGTCTAGTTTGCGTTCATTCTGGTGAAGTCATTCAATTTGTTAATACCATTAGCGCGGAATGACTTCAATCTGTGCATCCAGAACTTTTCTTTGCTTTTCCTCTGAGCATCTGTCCATCTTGGGTTATGGTCAATCACCACTACTGTCATGTCCTCCCATTTGTGACCCTCAAGGTTGAAATGTTCCCCAACGGGTTCATTGAGTTTTTTGGTCCTAATGGTCGAACGGTGGTTATTGACTCTCCTGCGGAGATCTCCTGTTTCACCAATATACTGTTTGGAGCAAACTTTGCAACTGATGAGATAAATGCAGTTGTCAGTATGACAGGACAAATTCCCTAGTATTTTGTAGCTGCGGCCTGTAACAGGGCTGTTAAAACTGTCTGTGTCAGTGCTGTGCTTACAAAGAAGACATCTCCTGTCAGAGCAAGTTTTAAAGCCCCCGTTAGGTAATGGGTTGTCCAGTCTGGTTCTTACTACCATGTCCTTTAGATTCCTTGGGCGTCTGTATGCAGCCAATGGGGGTTCCTTAAAGACCTCTGCCATTCGTTTGTTTGAATGGAGAATTGGTAGGTTCTTTTGAAGGATACCGCTAAGGTTTTTAAGGACGGGATGGTATGTGGTTACCAGAGGGACCCTGTCGCTATTGTCTTTTTCCTTGTAGCGTAATAGGTTTTGCCTGTCATGTTCCGCCATCTCATCAATAGCTGTTTGCACGGTGCGGGCATTGTAGCCTCTTTTGCATAAGTGGGACTTAAGAAGACCACTTTGCTCCTGATATAAGGCAGGGGACGAACAGATGCGTCGAATCCTGGTGGCTAGACCCTTAGCAACTCCCTTAAAAGTGTGTGGGGGATGACAGCTAGTGGGCATAAGATATAGGTGGGAGTCTGTGGGTTTGGTGTGGAGACTAAATTCGATTTCACCATCAATCAGGGTAGATGTAGTATCTAGGAATACGTTTTTCGAATTAGACATGTCTACTGTAAATTTGATCGACTGATGAAAGGTGTTGGCAAACATAATGAATGCCTCGAGGCTCTCACGACATTCCACCCACTTCATCTCTATATTCAATGAAACGCAACCAGCTATGGGGCCTAAATGGTGCTTGAAGTAACAAGTTGCGTTCCAGTCTGCCCATGAAGACATTGGCATAAGACGGTGCCATTTTCGTACCCATAGCAGTGCCATTAACCTGCAGGTAATGTTCCGAAAGGCTTTCAGATAAATGTTACACCTAACATAGGGCCAATCTCCAAACGCTTTCAGGAACGCTGGGACGTTATTACAAGGAGATGTTCTAAACAATTGATGTCACTATTTCATAGAGGATATATATATATATATTTCATAGAGGATATATTTAAAGTTTTTTTTACTATTTTATTATTTCTTGAGAGAGTGGTTATTTTTTGTCCCCTTTAGACTCAAACTACTTTAAAACAAACCCTTTTCATGTATTTTATATTTTCATGTTCGTTGCTGAAAGCGGGGCCCTTTGAGATGGCTCCAATCTCAATGATATCTAGTTGTAAAATTTAGAATGCTTTTTAAGCAATTGCAATGCTCTTATTGTTTTGATAAAATATACGAATTTAAGTTTGATTTTGCATGAGTTAGTGTTAAAAAAGGGTGCTTTTGAGAACATCAATTTACTAAAATCTACCAGAACATAATTGTCCATTTTGGGTTAAATTATCCGTTTTTCTCAAGAGAAAAGGGTCATAATGAATTTTACAAATTGACCAGAACAGAATTAACACAAGAATGAAAGGTGTTTAAAATGCTCAATTAAAGTTATGTTCCTTAGTTCTCCTGCCGAACAACTGAGCTTGTTTTTATTAAAAGCAGAAAAAAATTAAATAACATGTAGAAGTGATTTAATTTTAATAAAGTAAATAACGAAAGAAGTAAAACAGTTAACAAAATTGTAGAAAAAAATTGGACTCAAATAAGAATATCACACATCTTAAGTAAAATATTACACAATCTTATCCCAAGCACCATAATGCCATAGTAACATGAAATACATAGGAAAAGGGGGAGTCAACCATACTAGATTAAGAATTTAAACCCTTTAATTTTTCACAAGATACTATATGCATGTATTTCAAGTTGACCTCTTATAAACATGATAAGATTAAAAAACATATGCAAAATGCTATAAACTACTGCTTGCCATCATAAAGGGTGGGTAAAACAAATGAACAAACAACCAATAACAAAACGATCGATTGATTGTACGTTGTTAAACGTCCCTCTCGAGAATTTTTCACTTATATGGAGACGCCATCACTAATAAAAAACGAAATAACAAACGTCCGCTGCATGCCATATGTCAACCTAAAAGATTGATTAGTTGAATATTGTTTAACGTCCCTCTCAAAAATTTTTCACTCATATGGAAACGTCAACCTAAAAGAAATAACAAGCATTGAAGACAGATGGGTTAAATGATAGGTTTGAAAAATTCAGCAGTTCAAAAAACTAGTATAAAACTAGGTACAATACAAACACTGTTATATAGTAGAATTTTTACACCAAAACATTTCACATAAATATTTTTTTTGCAATAAGTACTTTTGTATGTTCCTTATTTTATGGGTCAGAATAACCCTAAATGCCAGCAAAGATCAATCACACAGTTTAAACTTAACAATAATTTATTTACAGTATATATATATATATATATATATATATATATATATATATATATATATATATTATTTTTACTGTGTAATTCAGTTAGATTGATTGGTTTGGTTTATACCACGTGTTAAATTATATTTTGCCGATAAAGACTTGAGTTACTAAGAATAGAAAAGGAAAAATCCAAGATTTGTTTTACTGATTGCGATTAGTTCATGATCGAAAATTTAAGCCAATGAAAATCGTTCTTTCATGTACGTTCCGAAACTAGCAGAAGATGAACGACACGAAAGAGCTCGCAAAAACTGAAAAGCGAAGATTCGCTTCTATTGACGATGAAGGCATCAAAAATTTGATGGATAATGTTGAAGCACAAAATACCAAACGAGTTACTTCAACGTCAGTGAAATTGTTTCGGGAATACCTGTTAACGAAGGGGCAGGAGTTAGATTTCGAATCTTTCGACAATGAAAAACTTGACGAACTTTTATCCAAGTTTTACCTTGAGATGCGCAACAGGGATGGTGAGATGTATAAAAAGACAACACTGCTTTCGTATCGACAGGGCTTACAGAGACATTTAGAGAAAACGAGAACTGATATTGACATTTTGAAAGGAACTGATTTTAAGAAGTCGGCAAGGGCATTCAAGTGTATGACTAAAGAGCTAAAAAGACAGGGTCGCGCAGCTATAGATCACCATCCACCCATCTCAGACGAACATTTGGAAGTAATCTATGAACATTTAACCCAAAACTTGGAGGATGCCCAAATGTTGCAGTACAAGGTTGGTACTTTAGCCATTATGAATAAGAAATTGTAAATAATTAGGCCTATATGATATATCAAAGTTTTTGAGAGTGATATCGTGTCTTGTTTGTTTAAGGTCTTTTTGGACATAATGTTACATTTTGGCCGGCGAGGCAGAGAAAACCTTTCCTCCCTAACACGAAAGGACTTTGCAGTAATGAGAGGGGAAGGAAATCAGCTCTTCGTGTACAAAACAAAAGATGAAAAAACAAAGAACCATCAAGATGATTCTGAAAAATCATCTGATGGAAGGATGTACGAGATAAAAGGTAAATATTTGAAAAGTAAGGAAAGAAAAAATAATTTTATTTTTACTTTAATTATAATAATCACCCTACTTTTAATAAGATATTGGGTCAAAGCAGTTCTTAGAATTTATGTTGTATAATTTCAGATAGTGACCGATGTCCCGTACGAAGTTTTGTGAAATATCTTCGACGACTGTCTCCTCATTGCCCAAGATTGTTCCAACAGCCTCGAAGTGTTCCTAAAGACAATACCTACTACTGTAATATACCTGTGGGTCATAATGAACTTGGACAGTATATGAAAAGAATTTGTGTCAGTGCTGGAATAAATGTACTCTACACTAATCATTCATGTAGGGCAACAACTGTAAGTGTGTTAGATTCAGCAAATATCCCAAGTAGACATATAATGTCAGTTACTGGTCATAAAGCAGAGAGTTCCCTTAAAACATATTCAGGGAAGACCAACGAGAACACCAAGAAAGTAATGTCACAGATAATCTCAGAGAAAATATCAGGAAGAAAGGCAACAGAAACAGTCACTAGTCCAAGCCCAATGCAAGATTACAGTTTATTGCCCCTATCAAATTCACAGGAAGAAGTTCTTATGAAAGATTTATTTGATGAATCGGATGGAATTGATGATATCGTGCGTTCTATCGAATTTAAACAGAATGTCCAAGCCCAGAAAAAACAGGTTAACACCACCTTGGTACAGCCACATACCTTACAGTCAGCTAACATGCTTGTACCAATGCCAGGCCTGTGCCTTAACAACTACACAAGTGTTACTATAAACTATAACATAATGCAAAACAATAACACAGAGTAAATGAGTTTTTGTGTTCAAAATTGTTGTTAGTTAATACAAAATGTTTGAATATATTATAATGGTCCAAAAAATTGTTTTAGCCTTATTTTTGCCAAAGAAAATAATATAACAAATGTAGCCCTTTGATTCAGTCGATCCATAGATATATCGACTTCACAGAAAAGCATATCGACCTCGCACTTCGTGCTCGGTCGATATGCTTTTCTGTGAAGTCGATATATCTATGGATCGACCTCATCAAAGGGCTATATTATATATATATATATATATATATATATATATATATATATATATATATATATATATATATATATATATATATATATATATATATATATATATATCATAAAGTACAAACTTAGCAAGAATCTAAGAATACATACAAGAGAGTGTCCGTTGCTGCACACAATATACCAATGAAAATATATCCCAGTCTCTTGGTACGCCAATCTTACTTGTACATCAATGGTGCTTATACGACAATAAATATCATGCTTACAGTTGACAGGGTATTTATACATTATCATAAATCTAAAATATTCTAGAAGTTGTTAAGACATTATATTACTGAAACAACCTGGACATACACAAATGTTCTAGAAAAATGACCACTCTGGAATGTTCAAGAAACTTCTTAATGTTACTAATCATATACATGATGAAACAATACAAATACAACACACCCTACAACACTTAGTTTTCCTGTCAAATAACTGAGGTTTTTGCAATAAGCAGGCAAAAACAAAGGGAACTCAAATAAAGAATTTTACACATCCTAATCAAAATACACAATCTGACCCCCAGCACCATAATGACGTGGTAACATGATGTACATAGGGAAAAGGGACAACCAGACTAGAATAAGAAATCAAACCCTGTAATCTTTCACAAAATAAAATATACAAGTCATATATTTCAAGTTCACCCTTATAAACATCAAAAACATCAAGATTAAACAAGAGGCTCACGGGCCTTATAGGTCACCTGAGCATCATGTAACAACTTTCCAGCGATTGTATTTGGTTCGTGTTTTAATCCAAAAGCCATGAAATTCACAAATTTTGAAAGAGGCACCATTGCTTATCAAAGGGCAGATTTCAAAGCATTAATTTATTTTTAGTCAAAGTACGCCCCGGTACCCCTGACCCAGCGGCCCTGAAATTATCTATATTTTGAAAGAGGCCATTTTCTTCATTATAAGGCCAGCATTTTTTTTATGTTTAGGTTTAGTTATGAACATGAGAATAAAAAAGTCCCGCAGGAGAAGGAAATAAAAAAAAAATTGATAAATCAATTATTAACATTTGTACATTCTTTTTTATGCTATCCTAACAGGCTCCTTACCACTGGACACATAATGCTTACAAATAGGAAAGTAGAACATTTAATTGCTTATTTCATCATCTGCCAGTTTGGGCCAGTAATATAAAAAGTCTTTCAATAGTGTAGACATTGTTCTAAAATTTACTTGATACCTTAGATTATAATTCCTATCATAAAACAGACAGGGAGTATTGGGGAGTAGGGTGAACATTTTTTCAATTAAGTGTGAAATAATTTTTCTGGCTGATACAAATGATACTACATGCCTGTATATATTTGTATATTCTTGCCTTTTAATAGTTGAATTTTTTTTATTTCTACAGGTTATTGTTTATTTCTTCCTCAAATGGACTTAACTTCTCCCAAAGTTTTATTCATTACATCTGATGCATAAGCAAGAATGATGCTTAGACTGTAAGCTATAACAGAGACCTAAACAATGTCGCTGGCAATATGCAATAGCTACCACGGGCAGTTTAAAACCTGGGGGGGGGGAATAATTTACAGATACTTTTGAAACGAATACATAATTATCTCACCAGCATGTCATTGTGCAACAAAGTCGTCAGCATTTTATTTGTCCTTTGAACGGGTGAAACGTTTTGAATGGCACTCTTATCGATGAATTTTACACTAAACCAAGCCATTTTCTCAGAACTAGCTTTTTTACCCGCCGTTTCGAGATCGTAGAACCGGAAGTGCGAGTTCGTATATTTGGAATCTCGATCCCGACTCAAATTTGACATCGGAAAGAATTTTTTTTCTGAAAATTAAAAACTTTGAGCGGTGGGTTTGTAAAACTGAAAATAAAATAAATCCTGGCCTTAAATATGTAATTAGATCATTAGCATATTAACCAGGAGCAAAAGATAAGATGTTCAGGGAATTCATGCATTTCACTATATAATCATTAGAGCCCCACCAGGAGCAGAGAAGAAGATTTTCAAAGAATTCATGTATTTTCACTATATAATCAATAGAGCCCCGCCCTAACACCAGAACCCCTGACCCTGGGGTCATAAAATTCACAATTTTGGTAGAGGCACTCTTGCTCATTATAACTATGTACTTAGTTGGTTTATTTAATACCCAGGAGCAGAGAAGAAGATTTTCAAAGAAATAATGCATTTTCACTACCTACTTATTTAGCCCCGCCCTAGCACTAGAACCCCAGACCCCAGGGCCATGAATTTCACAATTTTGGTAGAGGACTCATTGCTGATTACAATCATGCAAACAGTTTGACTGCTTGATGTCGAGGAGTAAAGAAGAAGATTTTTAAAGATTGCATTAATTTTAGTGGTTTTGGCCCCACCCCTCAGGCCCCAGGGGGGCAGGGACCATGAAATTCACAATTTTTGTTCCCCTTCACCCACAGATGCTGTATACTAAATTTGGTTGAAATTGGTTTAGCGGTTTCAGAGAAGAAGCTGAAAATGTTCAAATATTAACACACGACGAACGACGGACGCCGACGGACAAACACGGATGGCAATAGGTCACCTGAGTGACTCAGGTGACCTTAAAAAACACAACAAAATGTTCAAGACTGCTGCCTGCTATATAAAAATTCGGGTTAAACAAAATATCAAACAGCTACAATGCAATCAGAGATTGAATCATCCCTGAAAGTCATCTCAATCCATGTTGACTCCATGTTTTTTCATCCATAAATTGATTAAAATTTTAAAAAACCCAAAAATTTCATATCTTGTGTTTTATGCTTTATATTTTTACACAATATGATGGCTGTCTCTCTTTCTTTATGTAAGAAGAGGGTTAACAAAAAAACTAAATTAAAGGCCACATAATGTTTACTCTGTATGTCTTTAGACATTGATACAATTCTCACTAATTGTTTTTAAGTAGTTTTCTACAAAATTGTAGATGTATTCCAGTTGTGCCTGAAAAAGATAGAAAATAAACAGTAGAAGATTATTGTAAAAAAAAGCCTTCAAATTTTTTTACTGCTTTTGAAATATAGGGTACCTACAAAACTTTTTAACAAAAGTTTACAAATCAATTGGAAAAATGCTGAGAGAAATACTTTCACAAAAATCAAGGCGGTATTAAAAATAAAAGAGAACGATATATTTGGAATAAGATTCCAGTACCTAAGATTTACAATTTATATACAATAACATAATTAATTTTCATATTGTTCCCCGTATAACATAGATTAATATATATTTCAGTATCTGCTTTACTATACATGTGCATGTGAATATAAAGGGTTGATCAAAGTGTGTAAAACAACAGGTTCTTACCAAACACGGAACAATTTGAATTCACCGATGTTGTTTGTTAACTACCGTCTGCAGAATGTCAACTATACCAAGTAAACGCCTAGTCTAAAAATGGAAAGAAAATATGTAAGGAAAATGTTCTAATGGAAAGTATCAATACAGCAATAAAAAACATGTTCTATTCATAGAAAATGTCATTCAGGATCTGAAGCTTACAGTTAACCTCTTCTTGATCATGTTGAAACATTACAATACTTAAGACTTCATGATCCGCCACTAAGGAGAGGAAATTTCCCACCGTATTCGGCAATGGAGTTTGTGTCAGGATATATCCGAAAGGACGCTGGGCATCCTACAACACCTGTAAAGGTGATTATTAGCAAATTTTACTTTCACTAATTTTATACTCAGTATACTATAATAATATTAATAATATTATTAATGCATAAGTGCCTTTAAATCCTCTTTAAAAACGTGTTTAATGCAAGTTTGGTAAGGCAATTTGACTGTATAAATAAATAGATTGTTGTTATCTTTATTTTCTGAGATTTTTTCAATGTGCAAATGGTGTTAGACAGGGTGAAAATATGTCATCGTTTTTATTTCCTATGTATCTTAACGATTTACACGATTTCCTGAATGCATCCAATATTGAAGGTTTATCAACTATATCAGAGATGTTTGAGAACAAACTAAATATATTTTTTAAATTAGGCCACACCAATAAAATGTTTTGTTCGTCGGACCCGCGCGCTCGTATTTAAACAAAACTATACAAATAATATTAATTTAAAATCCCCGCACCATGGGAATTCTGTGCTGTTTTCTGTTCCATTTCCGCTCTATTTATAGAAATTTTAATCTACTTACTCTGCAAATCAGAAAAAAATATAATTCTCCGCTCAAATTTTTTCATGCCCCATCTAAAATTTTTGCCTACAATAAAGTAATAATATTATTATTTAACCGCTAGCCTGCGCGTACTTTTTTCATCAAATGTCCGACGAACAAGAAATTAAATTGGTGAGGCCTTATTTGCAATCTTATACGCAGATGACACTGTATTGGTTGCAGAATCTTCTGAAGAGCTACGAAAACAACTAGATAGATTCTGTAATTATTGTAAAAAATGGAATTTAAAGATAAATATCGACAAATCGAAAATATTAATATTTAGTAAAAGTAGACGTGAAGAAAATATACAGATGCAATATGATGATAAGAAAATAGATGTAGTAACAGAATTGAACTATTTGGGAGTTATATTATGTAAATCTGGCTCATTTATAACGGCAAAAAAGAAAATAGCTGAAAAGGCAACAAAAGCACTATACGAAGTATTAAAAAAAGGAAGATTACATAACCTGTCAATACAGTGTCAGCCAGATCTATTTGATAAAATTGTGCAACCTATTTTGTTATATGGATGTGAAGTTTGGGGATTTTCAAATAATGCAATAATAGAAAGGGTTCACCTAAAATTTTGTAAACTTCTACTCCGTTTAAAAGATTCAACCCCAGATTTTATGATATATGGCGAACTTGGCCGACACCCCATGGAAATCCAAATAAAAACGCGCATGATATCTTAATGGTCAAAATTAATCACTGGAAAGGAACTTAAAATTGCAAATTTATGTTATAAATTAGGCTTCACTATAAATCAAGAAATAGGAGGGAAAATTGTTTGGCTTGAAAATATTAGAAATATCTTAAATATCTGTGGACTCTCAAATGTATGGCTTGAATAAAACCCAATTAATATTAAATGGTTAAAGGCGAAAGTTAAACTCACATTATTGGATCAATTCAAACAAAGTTGGCAATCAATCCTTCAAACCTCATCCAAAGCTTTAAATTATAGAATATACAAAGACAAACTAAAATTTGAAAACTATTTCAATATTTTATCAAAAAAGGACTTAATAACATTCTGTAGATTTCGAACATGTAACCATCATTTACCAATTGAAAGTGGATGCTGGCTTAATATACCAAGACAAGATAGAATTTGTCCCCATTGTAATCTAAAAGAACTTGGAGATGAGTTTCATTACATTGTAAAGTGCAACTCGCTACAAACAGAAAGAAAACTATGCTTAACAGAAAAACACATAAAATTCCAGAATATAATTAGTTTTAAAAACATTATGAATAACAATAAACACTGCTCTCTAAGAAAATTGTGCTCCTTTGCAAAGAAAATAAATAAAATATGCTCCCTGGCCTAAATTCCCTTACTTCACATTTATAGTAACCTACATTTTTTTTTGTTTAGTTTCTTACTCACGCATGCCTTTCTAGACCTATTGCTGTATATAAAATCACCTATATGTTTTTTGTAGTCTCTGTACGCTATTGTAAAATGGTGAAGAGATTCAAATAAATGATTGATTGATCAAAATACTATAATGCACCAGACCGGTAGCTGAACAGCATTGATTTAGTCACTTTCTCTTCTGCTTAGATATAATCTATAACCGTCGTCTAAAAATATAAAGAAAAGCCAAGGCTAGTTTAATTGGAATGCAAATATCCCGAGCCCTGAAATTTCAGGTGTGTTTCGGGTAACGATTTTTTTCATAATATCTCTAATGTATAATCCATGAGAAAATTCATCTCTAGAAAAAATGGATACCGGGGTATGGTATGTCAAAAACAGAGTTAATTTCATATAGGGTATATGTTGGTAAAAACTAATGATCATAAAGACAAGAGTCGCCCCAGAAACAGATTTTGTATTAAAACTGACTCAGTTGAGAAGTGTGGCTAATGAGCATCTTGTATTATATCAAAATCATATATACGGATACCCCTTTTTGAATGAACGACATACCTGGTAAAACATTGTTATGCCTATTTTTGATAGGTTGTTCACTTCTTTCGCTGTTTGGTATTACTTCTCATTAAAAGTAGGAGTAAGTTTTTCGATCAACTGAAGTAAAAGAGACAAGCAACTTGTAAATAACAGTTGATAATTAAATATAAAATATAAACACTGTGAAATATAAATGTGTTGCTTTTCATTGAAACTAATATTTAAATAAATATTTTTATTACATGTAATTAATAATCGGAGAAATAAAATGGTCGACATATTTGCGAATCTGTGAAGCAATTGCAGATCTGGTGTTCCATCGAAATGTTAGAATTTTAATTTGAAACTAATTGTGTTATTTTTAAGCCGATTTTTGTATTCTCAATGTTACAAAACTTAATCAAAATTTTTTACATGAGAAGAAAATATTTGCTGTGGCTTTCTACTAGACATTCGGATTATATTGACGTTTTTCAATCAATAATGATATTTATTTTCACTAATTTTAGTGAACAGTCAGCTATTTCTCTTTCATATTTAACTGTGTAACTGATTTTAGATGATAAGAGCGACATAAGAGTTAAATAGTATGACAATCGATATGACTTCAATTTCTATCGCGCCAACTTTTTCTAATATTGGCAGCATTATTTCGCGACCACCTGCATAATTATGGTGCTTAGCCTTACCAACTTATAGATACTCAAGAGCATGTTCCGAGTATGATTGTGCTTTAAAGAGGTTAAAGAGGAAGGTTACTCACATGTAAGTGGATGTAACAGGGTTTCCTACGATCAGCATCTTATCTACGAAACTTGCTTTCTTATTTTTTAGGTTTATGGAATATAGGTATTTCGAATTTGTCTTATAGTAGTTTATTTATAAATGGTATACCAGACCTTAAGGCAAGATCATTCAAAATAGGCCATTTGACATAAATTAGAAATGTTAAACATTTTACAGGTCAAAAATTTGAAATGAAGGAAAATTACATATTGTCTGTTTGATAATTGGTAACCACAAGAAGGTAAAATTTATTGGTATATGAAGGATTACCTGGAATTCCTCTTCAATGTGTTGTTTTCCAGTTCCTGGATTGAGCGACTTAAGTTGACTTAAGTAGTTTCTAAAGTCGTTTTTAAGTAGAGCACTCTGACGTCCAGTAAGTTTTTTTTGTGATGACGTCATATAAATAAATATACTGTTCCTAAAAATAGCATTGAGTGCAAATAATAAAAAAAACGTCAAGTTGCAGTGACCTGCGAAACAAAACTTAATCACACTTGAAATGAGAATACTAAAAAGAATATAGAAAGCACATAACATGCTGTTACAACATTCCAATCAATGGAGTTTGTGGAAAGTCTTTGGGTAGAAGAATATTTTCAATGCATTTCATGCAATCAGACTAAACTGAAATACATTCAATGCCAAACATATTGATTTTTATGAGAGGAAGAGAAAATAAATTTATACATGTACGTATATGTTGCAATCTTGTATACAGTATACTAACAGAGAAAAGATTTTCAACATTAATTAGAACTTTTTATACTTTTAGAGAGGAAAAAACATTATGTAGATAAAGAATCAAGTTATATGCGTCAGGCTAATTATTTATGATGAGCGTTGAATAAAGAGGGATAGAATATAGATATTTCAGTGCATTCTTCGAACCACTGTTTGTATGGCGTGTGCTCTCTGATGTCTGATCCTAGACACACAGCTGACCACATCAACACTACCGTCCCGCTGTCCCTGTTTTATCAGGTAGTCTATAGCTATAAAGCTACCCGTCCGACCAATCCCCGCACTGAGAACAAAGACACGTTACACACGTTAAAAAAAATTCAATAGATGAATGAAAACGTGAACTTTAATTTAGCAATTTACAAATTAAATAAAATTCAAAGATACTTACAATTTCGTTTTCTTCCAAGTTTGTTAAGATAATGATTGTGTTTGCGTTTGATTGCCAAATCATTCGCCAAAAATCATTGATCGTATCGTCAGTAAATGGACCTTTAGAAACAAAATTATTGCATAAGAAACTCAATATAATAATGATCAGCTTTGTTCAAATAAACAATCAATATTAACTTATATATTAATATTATACACTATAATGTATCTTGCCTTGAGCTGCTATATATTCTCTCGGTTTTTCAATTCCTTGAAATTTTAAAAATTACATGAAATTAAAATAATGTCAACTCTATGGAATGCGGATAGGATCATGAAGTTCACCAAACTTTTGAGATTTAGATCCATCGTGCAAAGAGGCAATAGTGCCATGACGATAAAGAAATTGTACAACAATAATGCAATGACAATGATGCTATGGCTTAATGAGGTGATAAGGCGACACAGCACAATGAGGCGATAGGGCCATGATAGGATAACGATGCTACAATGGTACATGTAAGGTGATAAGGATAAATATGCTTGTATCTGTTTAGTTTTTTGTTTCCTGTTTTCTTTGCTACTCTACACTCCAGCAGCAGCCCTTCAGGAAGGTCCTGCAGAAAAGGAAAATTAACCAGTTTTATTGAATGAATTAAAACTTAACACTAAATTTTGTAAATGTTTATACAGAATTCATCTGCAAAAGATTCGTTATACCCTGAATTCTTCCTTGAGATAATCATTGGCTTTATTCTTTCGAGTAAATTCCCAGAGACTGTTAACGAAAATACGCGAAATTTTCACATTAAGGTACTGTAAACGTAGAAATTTTGACGATGTGCTAATTTTGACTATTTTGACGATTTTTCTTTTCTCGTCAAAATATAAACACGTCAGATTTTGCATCATACATATAGCGTCACAACATACATAGACCAGTGTACAAAATTACGCTTAATTTTCTCGGCTTTCCCCTATTAAACCTAGATCAAAGTTACTGTTGATATTTTTTGTATTAGTTATGAAAACAGAGATATATAATCACATTTAAAAAAACCATTGAATCTAAACTAGTATATCGAACACTACTTGCGTAACGTAGCCTAATTATCACGCCGTGTTTGACCTAGTTTGTCACCTCAGGCAATTGACCGCTTATAATGAAACCAACTTACAAGAGTTGTTATTTAATCAAATCTTACACATTGTAGATACTAGTAGTCTGTACAAAAATTAAATTTTAGTAATTACTTTGTATATCTCCGTGAATTCAAAGATATATAACTCTTGATTAAATATTTCGTCAAAATTAACACTCGTCAATTTTCGTAAACAAGAAATCGTCAGTTTTTCAACTCGTCGATATAACCACGTTTACAGTAGTTGTGGTTTTCAATCACTGGAACAGATATTTCCTCAATATCTTCCTCTGGATCAAGTTCTGTCAGAAGGGCCTGGGATCCATGAATATTATACAATGATAAAGCATTGTTTTCAGCAACAAGACCTCAAAATTATAATGCTAAAAATTAGAACTGTTATAAAAAGAAATGCGTAAAGTTAATATATAATATAAGATATTTAATAACTAGCATTACCATTTCTCACGTGTATAGTCAGTTGATCTTCTTGTGATTTGACCCTTCTCACCTTCCTGTAAATTCATTTTTAGCTGTTACAAAGCTTTACTTTGACAAAATATTAATTTATAAAAAGAAGTATGTAAAATATATTACCTTTTGACTTTAAGATATATAAAGACTATTACGGCTATCATAATAGTGACAAGAAGTAGTACAATGGCGATAATCAAGATTTCTGGTGAAGGATTGGTGCCATCTGAAAAGAAAATTAATTTAACATTTGTAATAATTATTATTGCAATTTTTTTTTACAGTGTATGTGAACAATGAAACATTTTAAACAAAAAAAAACTATAAGAGTTCATTTCATGTTCTATTTTATCTCAGTTGCATTTGAAAAAAGCAAACGTGATTTACATTTACAAAAGTTGGTGAAAATTATTCAAATATTAACATAGGCATCATACAAAACTTAAATATATATGTATCCTAAATTGATTAAATTGAACTAATGTATTTATATTGTTTATATATTGTAAGTGAGAATGACATTACCGTTTATATTCTATAAAAAAAATTAAGAGATGTACGCTTTGAATCAGTTCATTACCTTCAGGTTGGCAGTTTTACGAAATTTTCCTAATTCGAATATAATTTCCTTTGTCTCACGAGGCCTACTCTAATAATATAAATTTATTGTGAATATATTTAAATGTAAGGATCCCAATTTCTACAACTTGCGGCAAAGGTTTGGAACTACTGGGGAATCTGTCTAAGCCTACGCTACGCAATTATTGAATGGATCAAAGATGAAAAAGAAAACATTGAGATTCTGTTAGATTGGATTAAAAGTATAAGGTGGACATTTACTATTTCATTAAACGGCGAAAGGGAAATATGAAACTCGTCTATTCTTCTGTCTTCAGATTTGACCAAAAATCGTCTCCACTTTGGCTGACTTGTCTCATAACAATTGTTAAGCGTTTGATTTTTGACCGAATTTCACTGTGGAATATTCTATCTACTTGCGTTAATAGTTAGGGCTCAAGGATGTTTACTCCATCTACGCACCTGATCCCACCACTGGAAGTTTCAGGTTCCCTGTTTATGCCCTCTCCACGAATTTTTATTTTATGAATGAGATCGCCATAATAATTCGTTATCTTCACCTTTTTCATAGATATTATTGTATGCAGGTTCCTTCTTAAAAACAGGTAATGTCATATTCTTTACTGGTAAGGATTATTATAGTTGCAGTTTAGTTGGATTCAGTTATGAAATGTATAGTTAAAGTACATGTAATTTTCCTTATTATGAAATTCTTCATACTCTCACATGTAACTCATTTTATATAATATATTTATTTTTCAAGTTTACCGACAACCTATTTGAGTTCGAGGTAGATTATCGATCTATACTGGATGCCAAAAACTTCACAACAATTGTTATAAACATTTATAATTACATGGTGGGTTCAAATAAACTCTAGAGAACCTTTTTCTTGACTCCTCGTGAAAATATTAACAGGGTTGAGAAAAAATCAAGAATAGAAAATGCATAGTTTTGGAAATTTATTTAAATTTCCTAAAATATACTCGAGATTTGAAAATTTTCACTACTTCGCAAAAAAAAAATAGTGTTAATCTTCCTTTACAAATCTTACTATTGTTCAATCTGTTAGAGAAAAAAAACTTAAGAGAATTAAAACAGACTTTCTAACCGAATGGACTGTTACATATAACAATTAGATTAATTATGATACTAAATTGATTGATTGGTTGTATGTTTTTAACGTCCCTCTCGATTATTTTTCACTAATATGGAGACGACTTGTGATTTTAGAACAAATATTATAACAAGAGGTCCACGGGCCTTATAGGTCACCTGAGTATCATGTATCAACTTTTCAACAATTGAATTTGGTTCGTGTTTTAAACCAGAGGCCATGAAATCATAATTTTGAAAGAGGCACCATTGCTTATCATAATTATAAACTTGGCATGTTTACGCTATTTACTTAATGCCCAGAGGAAGATCAGAGTAACAAAGAGAAAATACACTTCCATTTTATGACCAGTTGTGCACCCCACCCCAAAGGATCCACCAATCCTGAAGCCACATATTTCAAAATTTTGGAAATTTTATCATAAATTTTATTTAATCATAAATGGTTGATTAATTTAATACCACAGAGCAGATTTCAAAGTATTATTTTTTTTCAGACTATGTTATCCCCCCTCCGATACCTCTGGACCCAGGGCGCATAAGATTAACCATTCTACTAGATGCACCTTTCTTCATCATAAATATATACTTGGATCATTAGCATAATACTCAGGATGTATTTTTACTATATAATCAAAAGAGCTCCCTCCCCTTACACCCAATGGCAAAATCTCTGATATGGGGGCCATAAAATTCACAATTTTGAAAGAGGCACTCTTGCTCATCATGACTATGTACTAAGATACAAAGATTATTTAATACACAGGAGCGGAGAAGAAGATTTTTGAAGAATTAATGCATTTTCACTATATCATCAATAGAGCCCCGCCCTAACACCGGAAACCCCTGACCCTGGGGTCATAAAATTCACAATTTTGTAAGAGACACTCTTGCTCATCATAACTATGTACTTAGTTAGATTATTTAATACCCAGGAGCGGAGAAGAAGATTTTTGAAGAATTAACGCATTTTCACTGTATCATCAATAGAGCCCCGCCCTAACACCAGAATCCCTGACCCTTGGGCCATAAAATTCACAATTTTGGAAGAGGCACTCCTACTTATCATAACTATGTACTTAGTTAGTTTATTTAATACTCAGGAGCATAGAAGAAGATTTTCAAAGAATTATTACATTTTCACTATATAATCTATAAAGCCCCGCCTTAGCACTACAACCCCTGACCCCGGAGCCATGAATTTCACATTTTTGGTAGAGAACTCAATGGACATTACATTCATGCTAACAATTTGCTTGCTTGATATCCAGGGGTAAAGAAGATTTTTAAAGATTTCGTCAATTTAAGTGGTTTTTGCCCCACCCCTCAGGCCCCAAGGGGGCAGGGACCATGAAATTCACAATTTTTGTACCCCCTCGCCGGCCCATAGATGCTGTATACCAAATTTGGTTGAAATTTGTTCAGCGGTATCAGAGAAGAAGCTGAAAATGTTCAATTGTGAACACACGACGCACGATGGACGACTGACGACGGACGACGATGGAAAACGGATAGCAATATAAAATACATGAAACATTGATGGTGATTTCGTAGACATGCTTTAAAAATAGGAAACCTTACCAGATTCCTTTAATGTTTTACACTGTTTAGCGTTGGCGTTTGGTTTACAGGCTATGTCACATTTTCCTTCGTCATCACATGTTGCATTAATACAATGTTCACATTTCTTCTCACACTGATTTCCATAGAATCCATGATCACAGAAACCACAGATATGAGAAACATCTGAACATCCTAAATTGTAAGTCTTGCATGTTTTACTCTGGTAAGTCCAACCGAGTGCGCAAGCATCACAGCTAACATTATCACGACATACTTTACAATTGTCTTGACAACGTAGATGGCAAATCGCACCATAGTTACCTTCATCACACCCCAAACATTTAGAGGCATTTAAGCACAGCCTACAACCTTTAGGACAGTTCTGGTCACACTCACTACCGTATTTACCGTTACTACATCCATTCAAACAGTTCCCATTCATTTCACACGCGTTATTTATGCAAGCATTGCTACATTGATATTGACATCGTTTGCCATAAACATGGTTGTTTTTACATGTTGTGCACATATCATTTGATTCACATGATAAACAATTTTCGGGACATTTATCGCACCTGGATTCATTCAAGAACCATTGATTAGCACATTTTTGACATTCTATCTTTCCTGTATCCCCTCGCTGGATACATTGTGTACAACTTCTTATTGCAGCGCTGCATTGCTGGTTACATTTCTCACCAAACCATCCATCTTTACACCCCACGACACACGTCTGATTATTAAAACATGTTAATTCTAAACAGTAATTGCTACAAACTTCTGTACAAAAAGGACCGTATTTGCCTAAAATACATTTCTCGCAGTGCCCTGTATCTTGGGTACATTGTTTCTTTAAATCACAATGTTCACTACATTTCTTTTCACATTTGCTGCCATAGTATCCTGGAGAACATGTATTGCAGTCGCCTGATATTATTTTACAAGATTTATTTCCTCCACAAGAAATGGGACATTGTTCAGTACACGTCAGGCCATAAAAACCTTGTTCACAAACATCACAGATGATTTCTTTTTGTTTACATCGTTGGCAATTTCTTGGGCATTTGGCGTCACATGTATTCCCCCTATACCCTGCTTTACACGCAACACAATCACCACCAATTCTATCACATGTATCCCCTTTACAGTTTAAAGAACATGTAAGATTACAAAAGGGACCAAACCTATTCTTTGGACATTTTTCACACAAACCAGTGGTTTTATCACAACTTTCATTGCAATTCCCCAAACACTCATCATTACAGTATTTACCATAATAACCATCAACACATGACAAACAGGAACCCGTTTTTTGATTACAGTATCTATTTAAGCAATTGGAAGGACACTCCATTGAACAATTTTCAGAATAAAAACTTCTTTTACAAAAACAATATCCAGACGTCTTAGCACATTGATCTTGACAACCAGTTGAACAATTTTTCTCACATTGATCCCCAAAATGTCAACTTTTGCATCCAAAACAATCACCGGTACTAGAGTTGCAGCCATTCTCGTCGCAGAATGGAGAGCATGGTTCGCCACAAGACTCTCCATATAAACCTTTTTGACAAACACAATCTCCCGACATTTTATCACACTCCTTGTTACATCCTGATGGACATATATTACTGCAATTTTTTCTGAAAGTGCCACTTGTACAATCTACGTTTGCAAAGCAACTTAAATTGAATCTATTTTTTGGAAAATTGACTTTTAAAGATGTTAAAGATGGAGACATTTTGATATCTATTTTATCTTCAAAGAATTCTCATTTTTAAAATCGAAGAAAAACAATACTTTTCATTGGATAGCAAGTAAATTATTATTCACGTATCCTAACAATTTAGTCTGAACAACGTACGTTTCAATATAAATATTAATTTATTTCAAAATCATAAATTAAAACCAGAAGTCTCTGTCGAGACTGTAGCTCTACTGGTTTGTACTTATAACAAAGGATGAGAAAAGAAGCCATTGCCATCAGACCAAAACTGTAGGAGTAGCGTTTTAAGGGAATTTCACAGACATTTCTATTTTTAGTAACAATGGCAACACTGTTCATCAAAATCAAAAACCGATGCACTATTTTATATATCTTAGTGTAGTCTACTTGTGTGCCAAGTTATATTGAAATCTGAACAAAACTGTAGGAGGAGTAGCGTTTTAAAGGAATTTCACAGAAAATTCTATTTTTAGTAACCATGGCAACACCATTCATCAAAATCAAAATCCGATGCATTATTCTATGTATCTTAGTGTAGACTATTTGTGTGCAAAGTTATACTGAAATCAGACCAAAACTGTAGGAGGAGTAGCGTTTTAAAGGAATTTCACAGAAAATTCTATTTTTAGTAACCATGGCAACACCGTTCATCGAAATTAAAATCCTATGCTCTATTTTATGTATCTAGGTGTAGTCTACTTGTGTGCCAAGTTATATTGAAATCAGACCAAAACTGTAGGAGGAGTAGCGTTTTAAGGGAATTTCACAGAAAATTCTATTTTTAGTAACCATGACAACACTGTTAATCGAAATCAAAATCCGATGCACTATTTTATGTATCTTTGTGTAGTCTACTTGTGTGCCAAGTTATATTAAAATCAGACCAAAACTGTAGGAGGAGTAGCGTTTTGAAAAATTGTTTACAGACAGACGGATAGACAGACAGACAGACGGACGGACGACGGACGCATTACTATCGCATAAGCTCTTCTGGTCTCTGACCAGTAGAGCTAAAAATTATCAATCATTCCTAAATTTGTATATCCCCATGATGTGTGAAAATATGTTAGAAAACCTATGTTTGTAAAAATCAATGCTCATTTTTTTTTTCAGAGGTTTGTATTCAAGTAGTACAATGGTGAAGATTTAAAGTAGCATAAGACAAAACATTTTAATACAGACCCACCCCACGGCATAATAGCATAATATGATGTATATATTTTCTCCCCTTTCAACATATATATGGAAGAAAAAAAAATGCTTCAAATTCATTCAATTTTATTACGGTAAAAAACTTTACCATTTAAAAAAAATGTTGTAGATTAAAATATCTTATATAGCTATTTTGCGTTAGTGCATGTATTAGCATTTCGTACTTCCCCATTATCCACAAATATAAAAGTCAATAGTCATATTTTATTCTCAAACTCTTGATTTGATTTTTTTTTTATTAATTTGGAGATTAATGAAAAGAGAAAATTATTTCATCTTTTTCTGCATATACCAAATAGCATTTAAGGGGAGACAGGATACATGTCACATGACTAAAAAGACATATCACGTCATAATCGATGATGATATACATGTTAAACGTTGTTGAAATAAACAGTTCTTGTGTAATTTTATTCTAAATTTTAAAATTATTTTTTAAACATTTAATTTTAGAAATTATTATTCATATTATTAAATAAAACTTTGAAAGATCTTGCCATCATTTAGATATTGTGAAGTTGCCCACACATTTGTTTCTCTTTACCCTGCAGTCTGACGTCAGTGACGTCATAGACTTAGAGTTTGAATTCTCAGTGCAACGAGATCAAGTACACACACCCGTCATGATCAGTTTTATTTCATAATAAACAGGTCACAGCCAATGTATCGTGGTAAGTTTCTGAAGCAGATTTTTTTAAAATTAATATTTTGTCGTGTTTAGTAGCAGAGATTCTCTCTAATTAGATGATTTTGAATGTTTATATTTTCGTGTGACGTCACAATTGATATTTCCCGCACTCGGAAAATACAAACGTGAAGCATTTTATCATGCTTTCGTCTAATTCAACGATGTCCTGTGCGATATTGAGGTTAGCTTCACCCTGTGATATTTATGCAGTAAATAATTACGATGAAGGACTGACATTCAATCGTAAATTTAGAAATATTTATTGACAGAATGTTTTCCAATCGAGGTTTTTCTCGTTGAAGCTGCCTTGAAAAATGCAGAAATTATCCCACCCAAATACTATATAAAATTAAAACAATTGCTTTCAGATAATTTAAACACTATGAATATCATGAAATATTTGGGTATATAGTGTTATCTATCATATTTATCGTTTGTGCGTAAAAATTCGCATTATGGACTCCGTTATGGGCCCGTAAACATAAAGTATCTAAACTCCATACAAACTCTAAACAGGGCGGTATTTGTGTGGCGATATCTTTTAAATAAGTCAAGAAATCCCATGACAGGGCCGTTTTAAAATGTTAAATACATATTAAATTAGTAATATAAAACATACGAAAAAAATTCATTGACAGGAATTTTTCAGCTAAAGGTCCTATTCCTCCTTAATTAAAAGATATCCAAAGTGTTAATTCAAATTTGATATCGACATACCTAAGCTTTGGATTTCAAAAACCTGCAATGTGGAATTTCCTTCAGACACAATTTCGAGATATTTCCCAGTAAGAGGTTTACTGCATTTCATCGTTATGGTTTTAACTATATCCGCTTCAGTATGTAATAAGGTGTCACAAGTCACTGCAGGTTCACGTACATATTCCATCTCCTTTACATAGAATGTGTACTTCGTTTTTCTTCCTGCAAATCCAATCACGGATTAGCAAAGCCAACTCTCAGAGTTTCACTTACATTATATCAGATACCAGTATACTTACGAAGGAATACGGTAACGTCTACTTCATCAATTTGTGTTGCATTTTTAAGCTGGACTCGTACAAATGGGAACTCGCTTGAATCCATTACAAATGTCCGTAGATCACCATCCAGTATTTTAGTTTGTGTGTTTTCTTCACCATCAGCTCGATATAATGTATAAGCTAAAAGGAAGCTGGATAATTAGTGTCATTTACTTTATAAAGCAAACAAGCATTTAATTTAAATAGCGCATCGCAGCAACAAAAGTCAGAACTTCTTACAAATAAAAACAAATATTCCACACGTAGTCTACATTTTTGGTCTCATAAGTATATATATATTGATAAATCTTATTATGATTTATCATTCAGTGGTGCAATAGGAATGAGCTTAAGTAGTAACAAAGGAGGGTGTGTTTTCCTTCAATAGTTGTTGATATAAAGTATTGACTAAAGCTTGCGTATGGTCGTTAACAAGCCATCAAACTTGCGACTGCCAGTCCTAGTATTTTCCCAAGCATAAGTTGCATACCTTGTAAAGAGGGGGGTATTGCGCCCAATAGGGATATTTATCACGGGTAGTTGTGATATGACTATATATTTTTACTCTTCTATGTCTAGTCAGGGTACGATATGCTAGTCTAATTAGCTGGAGATGCACAGTATAGCATGATGTACAGTAACATTTTTCCATACCACTGTAAGTAATCTGTATTCAGTATTTTTGAAATGATACGTTCTTTTGTATATATATTTTAGCGTGGAAACTTTACAAAAACTGTCTTTTTTCTTTTTTTACATTTTTGTTTACTCTATTTTGAAGTTTACTTGTACTTGTTTTTACAGGGGATGCTAATTTTATTTTTGCAATATTTAACATGGAAAATAACATGACATTCAACTCTCTGATGATCTTAATTTTCTATAGGCGTAAGGCAGACACACATACAAGGGATATTTTTCTTCAATAGTTGTTAAAAAAACTGGATCATAGTAACAATTTTAAATAAACAAACATTTTTATTCAGAAAGCTCATATCAGAGGCAAAAGTAGTAACAAATAAAACAACCATTCTACACGTAGTTTACCTCTTTGGCATTTATTTTTGACTGATCCACCCCATCCAGGCGAACATTCTGTACACGTTTTGTTACAGTCTACACAGTGACAAACACATGTACCATTACCCAGACATTGTCCTGAAGAATTAAAAACAATCTGATCAACAGTAAAATACTTTTTACTGCTAGACTACCATTAATTAAGCCTGTGTGTCACTTCTTCCTCAAAGCCAGATTTTGGAAGTTTATCTTTTTCTTATGTAATTTTATTCGTACATATACATGTATATTTGTATTTGGCGTTTTTTTCTTTTGTGGCTCTGTGTTAAAAAAAAACCGTTGTATTAACCTGAAAGATCGAGAGAAAATAAACATAACTTTCATAAGATATATTGACGTACAGGTTTTCGATATTCTCTTTTTGTATAATGTTAATTTTCAGCCAGTCAGAGAAATACAAGTTAATCAAATACATAATAAAAAAATATGCACATCATCAATTTTTTTCTTTGTTGTCTTTATAAATAGATTATTAATACAGTTATACGATATCAAAAAATGAAACATTGAGATAGCGAACAGTATTCAAGATCAAAAGTCCATAAAACATTACAAAACAGTAGAAGAGCAAACACGGGTCTCCAACACATCAGAGGCGGGATCAGGTACCATGGAGGAGAGAGCATCCCCTCCTGAAAGGTCATACCCGCCGTGTGCTACTTGTCATGATCGGGAAATAACGGAAAAATGAAAGTAAGTATTAAGAAAAAGTTCCGACCATTAAGCGTTGAAAGACAATTAAAAATCTAAAGAAAAAGATATCATGAAATCTTTGCACTGAATTTCACAGTAAGCTTAAATTCCATATCATAAATATACGAGTACATGTATTACACATAAAGTCATTCTAGTCTCAACCTTACAACTAAGAATATGATAAATAATTTAACTCAGTTGAGATCCTTGATGTTGAAAAGCAAGGATTTCTAAAAACAAAAACTGTCAACTTTATACATAAATGAAGTGTTAACAAACCTTTGCAAATGTCGACTAGTACAAATTGAACTATCACCAGGAATCCCAGCGTTTTTATCTGAAATTTTTTTCATGAAATATGACCCATTTTAATTATATGTGTCATCATATAATAATCGAGATTAATTCCAAAGATTTTAATGCTCCATTGTATAAACTTGTTTAATACTTTATCAAAATCAGATTCATTTCAAGTACATGCAAGTTTAAAGTAAAAAGTTCGACAGGAAAACACTCAGCTACAACAATGTAAACAACAAATAATGAAAATGTCTTATAATTTTGTAAAAAACAAAAAAAAAAAAAAAAAAAAAAAAACTTACTGTCATGTTTGAGCACATCCGAAAAGATATCCTGAATTATAAAAAACCAAACGTAGTTCTTCTGTTCTTATAGCAAACATGTCAATGAACATAAATTACTTCGTCAGCTTCCGTAACCATTTATGAAGGATGATTGTAATGGACTGGTAACTGGTCGCTGAGTTGACTCAAATATTATTCGTGTTATTTGGAGAAATGAAAAACCATCACAAGATATAACCACTGAGAGAAAAGTTTCTATATGAGTGCTCTCTAATACCTATGAGTACAAACCTGTTATTATTGACGCCTCCACTTCATTCCGCCTGAACGTGTACAGCAAATCAGGATCATGGAAGTAAACGCGAGATTTTGTAGGAAATTAATGATGGCGTAGGTGCGAGAATATTCAGTATATCACCACTACTAAACAACTGTCAATTTTTTAATAATACTTTTGGTCAAATTTGAAAGCATTTACACTATATATCTACCGTGTCAAATGTTTAATTCGCAAGTTTATAATGAATAGTAAAAAAAAGAAATCCAGATGACTATGAAATATGTCCAATTTGTCGGGTATACTCTGGTGAAGTGCGATTTACATAAAAAGGAATTAATTACGCTATAATAAATTACGACAATCAGTAAATCGTATATTAATTGTTTCATTCTCTTAAAATGGCATAACTATACAAGATAAAGAGAAACCAAAGAAAGATGATATAAAAGGGATATTCTAGCATATGAATTTGAATCTATTATAAATTGGGAAATGCACTTTAGGACTAGTTATCGGAAAAAAGAAATAATAAATATCAGCGGAAGCAATAAATAGGTAAATGGGTTGATCTAGAGCTGATAACGCGAATTAACTGTAAAGTTTACACCATATGGAGAGAATGGTCTATATACATGTGTATAATAGCGAATGTCCGTGTATATTTGTTACTTTTAGCTCTATACCATATCGATGTTCTATTCAAAAGAGGGGGTTATATTCAGTTTTAATAATGATAATGAGAGATGTTTTTTAATGTACAAATGAATATTTAATCTATAATCCGCTGATAGCTGCAATGTATATTTCTTTAAAAGTCTTATGCATATAGGCCTATCCAGATATCAGAATATATAAAGTATCTTCTAGACTGAAAAATGGTATTCGAGAATGATAAATCTTTGTTATTTCAAGCTAAAACCATATGATAAGATAATAATAATGATTTTAAAAAAATCATCTTAATTCGTAATTCATAAAACTGTTATCCCCTAGCTGTGAGTGAGATAACTCTTTCATCAATCTCGTGACAGGAAACAAATTCCCGAGGGCTTGCCCGGAGGAAGAGTTCCTATCAGGGGTTTAATGAAAGAGCTTTCTCATTCACAACCAGTGGATTTAAGCGTTTTATTAAACAAATGCAAATTACAATTGAAATGGATTCGATTACATGATACAATAGTTTCTAACGCAAAATATGGAAAGAAAGATTTTAAAAGTTTTGTCCAAGTCAGTTGCCCTATCTTACCTTTATATAGAAAATAGTTTAACAGAAAATTATTTTTCTTACCTTGGCAAATCGCACCATAGTAACCATCATCACACCCCAAACATTTAGAGGCATTTAAGCACAGTCTACAACCTTTAGGACAGTTTTGGTCACACTCACTACCGTATTTACCGTTACTACATCCATTCAAACAGTTCCCATTCAGTTTACACGTTTTATTTATGCAAGCAGTGTTGCATTGATATTGACATCGTTTTCCATAAAAATAGGATTTTTTACATTTTGTGCACAAATCATTTGAATCACATGATGAACAGTTTTCGGGACATTTATAGCACTTGGATCCATTCATAAACCATTGATCACCACATTTTTGACATTCTATCTTTCCTGTATCCCCTCGCTGGACACAGTGTGTACAACTTCTTATTGCAGCGCTGCATTGCTGGTTACATTTCTCACCAAACCATCCATCTTTACACCCAAAGGCACACGTCTGATTATTAAAACATGTTAATTCTAAACAGTTATTGCCACAAACTTCTGTACAAAAGGGACCGTATTTGCCTGAAATACATTTTTCACAGTGCCCTGTATCTTTGTTACATTGTCTCTGTAAGTCACAATGATTGCTACATTTCTTTTCACATTTACTGCCATAGTGTCCCGAAGAACATGTATTGCAGTCGCCTGATTTTATTTCACATGATTTATTCCCTCCACATGAAGTGGGGCATTGTTCAGTACACGTCAGGCCATAATAATCTTGTTCACAAACATCACAGATGATTTCTTTTTGTTTACATCGTTGGCAATTTCTTGGACACGTGGTGTTGCACGTATTCCCCCTATACCCTGCTTTACACTCTATACAATCACCAATTCTCTCACATGTATCCCCTTTACAGTTTAAAGAACATGTAAGATTACAAAAGCGACCAAACCTATTCTTTGGACACTTTTCACACAAACCAGTGGTTTTATCACAACTTTCATTGCAATTCCCCAAACACTCATCATTACAGTATTTACCATAATAACCATCAACACATGACAAACAGGAACCCGTTCTTTGATTACAGTATCTATTTAAGCAATTTGAAGGACACTCCATTGAACAATTTTTAGAATAAAAACCTCTTCTACATAAACAATATCCAGAACTCTTAGCACATTGATCTTGACAACCAAATGAGCAATTTTTCTCACACTGGTCCCCAAAATGTCCATTTTTGCATCCAAAACAATCACCCGTAGTAGAGTTGCAGCCATTCTCATCGCAGAATAGAGAGCATGGTTCGCCACAAGACTCTCCATATAAACCTTTTTGACAAACACAATCTCCCGACGTTTTATCACAACTCTTGTTGCATCCTGATGGACATATATTACTGCAATTTTCTCCGAATGTGCCACTTGTACAATCTATGTTTGCAAAACAATTAAAAGTGAATTCATTTTTTGAAAGTTGACTTTCAAAATGTTGAAGATAGAACATTTTTATCTATTTTATCTTCAAAGAATTCTCTTTTTTGTTTGATAATAAAATTGAACGAAAAAACATTACCATTCATCGGATAGCTAAAAAAAAGCTAGTAGTTTATCATTCAAGTATCCTAACAATCGAGTCTGAACAACTTACGCTCCAGTATAAATATTGATAAATTCTAAAATTATGAATTTAAATTTTTATCAATCATTCCGAAATTTGTATATCCCCATGACGCGTGAAAATATGTTAGAAAACGTATCTTTGTAAAAATCAATACTCATTTTTTTATTCAGTGGTTTGTATTCAAGTAGCAGAGTTGTGAAAATCTGAAGTAGTATCAGATAAAACAATATAAATGCACCCCCCCACGGCATAAGCTGATGTGTATATTTTCTCCCCTTTCAACATATACACATTTGTTAAAATTAACACCATACTGTAATTTGGAGTAAACGTAATCGATATGCTCAAGAGAAGAAAATTGCTTCAAATTCATTCAATTTTATTAAGGTAAACATTTTTACCATTTTAAAAAATGTTTAAGATTAAAATACGTAAAACAATTATTTTGCGTTAGTATTAGCATTTCATACTTTCCCATTATGCACAAATACCCCTGGTATAAAAGTCAAAAGTCATATTTCATGCCCTATCTCTTGACTTGATTTTTTTCTACTTTGGAGATTAATGAAAAGGAAAAATGGTTTCATTTTTTCAGCATATTACTGTAGAAGTACTTTTTCTGCGTGGTATTACTTTACACTATGTACGCGGTCACAAATTATCCGTGGAAATTTGCCCAATCATACTCAAAATACTTGTAAGGAATATAGTGAGAATCTAAGAAATCCGCGTAATTTTCTACCCCTGGATTCACGAGAAATCGAGAATTATGACCCCGTGGAAAATAGTACGTCTACAGTATACCAAACAGCATTTAATTAAAAGACATCCAAAGTGATAATTTAAATTGGCTATTAACATACCCAATCTTTGTATTTCAAAAACCTGTAATGTCGGATTTCCTTCAGACACAATTTCGAGATATTTCCCAGTAAGAGGTTGACTGCATTTCATTGTTATGGTTCTTTCAATGTCCGCTTCAGTATGTAAAAAGGTGTCACAAGTCACTGCAGGTTCACGAACATATTCCATCTCCTTTACATAGAATGTGTACTTCGTGTTTCTTCCTGCAAATACAATCACAGATGAGCAAAGACAACTCTCAGAGTTTCATTTACATTATATCAGATACTGGTATACTTACGAAGGAATAGGGTAACGTCTACTTCATCAATTTGTGTTGCATCTTTAAGCTCGACTCGTACAAATGGTAACTGACTTGAATCCGTTATAGATGTTTGTAGATTATCATCCAGTATTTTAGACTGTGTGTTTTCTTCACCATCAGGTTGATATAATGTATTAGCTAAAAGGAAGCTGGATAATTAGCATGTCAGTTACTTTATGAAGCAAAAACAACAATTTATTTTAAATAGGGCATCTCAGCAACAAAAGTCGGACATTTTTTCAAATAATAACAAACATTCCACACGTAGTCTACATTTTTGGATTCTATGAGTATATACATGTGTATATAGTTTGATAAATCTAATTATGATATAATTATAATAATTTATCATTCAGTGGTGCTAATAAAAATTTGATTATTCTTATCTTTTCATCTTGTGTTTCCAGCCTCAAAACCTTTGTTCACAAGGAACAGGGCTCTGTATGATCGTGTAGACATACGCAGTACATCTACTTTTTATTTTTTAGAAAATAAATTAATAAACAACCAAGACAAGACGACTGAAGCAATCATTTTTAATGGCTGATCATACATGGAGTTCAATGTCAACTTAATACATAAAGGAAAAAATGATTAGGAATGAGCTATAATTGTAAATAGTAACATTTCCTTCAATAGTTGTTGATATAAAGTATTGACTGCAGCTGGCGTTGGGGCGTTAACAAGTTGCATACCTTTTTAAGGGGGGAGAGTAAAGCCCCACAGGGATATTTATCATGGTTAATAGTTGATATGACTGTAGACATAATTTTACTCATGTATGTCTCGTCAGCATATGATGAGCTAGTATAATTAGTTGGAGATGTACACAGTATAGCATTATTGCATTTTGTGATGTGCAGTTACATTTCCGTATATATATATATATATATATATATATATATATATATATATATATATATATATATATATATATATATATATATATATATATATATATATATATATATATATATATATATATATATATATATATAAAGCAAAGAAAAAATAAAAATGACCAACGACACGAACAATAAAACAAAAACAACTAGCACTACTACTAAACTACTAAACACTACATATTTACAAACTTAGTTACATGTTGAATTGGAAATTTTTAAGAACACTATTAAAGAAAGAAATCCGGACCGCTATGAAATACGTCCGGTCTACCGGGTATACTCGGGTGAAGTGCAATTTACATAATTGAACGAATTAATTATGCTAATTAATTACGACAATCAGTAAATCGTACATTGTTTCATTCTCTCAATATGGCGTAACTATACTTGAAGAATAATCAAAGAAAAATAATATAGCAGGGATATTTTAAAATATGAATTATGATCTGTTATAAATTTTGAAATATTTTAGGACTTATTATCGGGAAAAAATAATTAACAAAGGCGTAAACAATTCATAGTTATGTGGGTTGTTCGAGAGTTGGTGACGCAAATTAACTGTAGAGTTAATACTAAAATGAGAGAATAATCTTGTTTAGTATCTTCAGGAATTGGGTCTAGTCTACGTTCATTCTGGTGAAGTCATTCAGTTTGTTAATACCATTAGGGCGGAATGACTTCAATCTGTGCATCCAGAACTTTTCTTTGCTTTTTCTCTGAGCGTCTGTCCATCTTGGGTTATGGTCAATCACCACTACTGTCATGTCCTCCCATTTGTGACCCTCAAGGTTGAAATGTTCCCCAACGGGTTCATTGAGTTTTTTGGTCCTAACGGTCGAACAGTGGTATATATATATATATATATATATATATATATATATATATATATATATATATATATATATATATATATATATATATATATATATATATATATATATATATATATATATATATATATATATATATATATATATATATTCCTGTACTCTATTTTGCAGTTGTAGATATTGTTGCTTCTTTTTTTACAAGGGGATGCTAATTTTATTGTGTTTTTCTCTTTCATTCTTTCATTTATTTTCAGCCGTATGTTTTTTGCAATATTTAACTTGATAAATAAATGACATTCAACTGTCTGATTAAATTATCTTTTTCTATAGGTGTAAGGCAGACATACATACAAGGGATGTTTTCTTCAATAGTTGTTGAAATAACGTATAGGCTTAAAAAACTGGATCAGAGTAACAATTTTAAGGGAAAAAACACATTTTTCATTTAGAAAGCTCATATCAGAGGCAAAAGTAGTAACAGATAAAAACAACCTTACCTCTTTGGCATTTATTTTTAACTGATCCACCCCATCCAGGCGAACATTCTGTACATGTTTTGTTACAGTCTACACAGTGGCACTCACACGTACCATTACCCAGACATTGTCCTGAAGAATTAAAAAAAACACAATTTGACCAAAAGCAAACTACTTTCTACTGCTACACTATTATTAATTAAGCTTATCTGACACTTCTTTCTCAAAACCAGAATTTGGAAGTTTATCTATTCAAATGTATTTTTATTCGTACATGTATGTTTGTATATATCTTTTAATTTATATACAGTGCACAAAAAAAACGTTGTATTAACTTGAAAGATCGAGAGAAAATAATCATAACTTTCATAAGTTATATTGACTTACAGGTTTTCGGTTTTTTTTCTTTTTGTATAATGATAAGTTTCAACCAATCAGAGAACTACAAGTTAGTATAAATTTTCTTTGTTGTTTTTATAAATAGATTATTAATACTATTATACTATATTAAAAAATGAAACATAAGGAGATAATGAACAGTATTCAAGATCAAAGTCCATAAAAGAATACAAAACAGAAGTAGAGCGAACACGGGCTTAATACACAGGTTGGATCAGGTGCCACGGAGGAGTGAGTATCCCCTCCTGACAGGTCACACCCGCCGTGTGCTACTTGTCATGATCAGGAAATAACGGGGGAAAAAATGAAATTAAGTATTAAGACAGAGATTATAAAGTGTTGAAAGACAATCAAAAATCTATAGAAAAAGATACCATAAAATCTTTACTTGAATTCAGAAAGCTTAAGCTTAAACTTCATATTTTAAGTATTCATGTATTATATACATGTATAAAGACATTGCAGTCAATCTCAAACTTACAACTAAGAATATGATAAATAATTTAACTCAGATAAGATCCTTGATGTTGAAAAGCAAGCATTTCTAAAAGCCCTTTCATCTATATACATAAATTAAGTGTCAACAAACCTTTGGAAATTTTGACTAGTTCAAATTGAACTATCATCAGGAAACCCAGCGTTTTTATCTAAAAAAAATTGTTTGAGAAAATATGACAAATTTTAATTATACATGCGATCATGAAATTTTCGAAATTGAATCCAAAAAACTTTATGTTCGATTGTTCAAATTGCTTAATATTTCATCAAAATCAGATTCATTTCAAGTACATGCAAGCTTTTAGTGAAAAGAACGACAGGAAAACACTCAGTAACAACAATGTAAACAACAAATAATGAAAATGTTTGTAAAAAAAAAAAAAAAACTTACTTTCATGTTTGAGCACATCCAAAAAGATATCCTGAATTATCAAAAACCCAAAGTAGTTGTACTGCTCAAAGCAAACATGTCCATGAACAAGAATTACTTCGTTAGCTTCCGTAATTATTTAATGAAAATAATTTTAATGGACTGGTAATTGGTCGCTGAGTTGACTTAAATATTATTCGTGTTATTTGGAGAAATGACCATTTGGAGTTATAACCAGTAAGAAAAAAGTGTCACTTTCTCTTTGAGTGCTCTCTAATAGTTTTGAGTACAGACCTGTTATTACTTACGCCTCTACTTCATTCCGTCTGATTTCGTTGACATCACTCTGCACGTGTACAGCAAATCACAATCACGGAAGTAAACAATATTTTTTTGAGAAATGAATTATGGCGGATGTGCGAGAATATTCAGTATATTGTTCACACGTTATTAGCTGCAATGTTGTGATGATATGATTTGTGAACGAGTTGATTGTAAAAAAAAATAGACAAGAGGCAACCCTACATAGACAGTTCTTATAAATAATAGCACTGAGGAAATTGTGTACCATTTTATTTATCCTCAAATACTATAAAACTATTAAACCAAGTATACTGGACATAGTATGCTTTATTATATACCTGATGTGTATCACTCAATTTTACTGTTGATTTTATGCAATAACGTGACGTCGTGATCCGACTTTCCGGATCACCACACTGTGGTTTTCTGAATTCATATCACCACCCTCTGAAACTGATGACGTACTACGCAGAAATATGACGTTATTTTTTTGCGCGTTAAAATGTCCCTTGTTAATATGCTTTGTTAATGTATTATTATTATAAACTTGTCAAAATCTCTTCTAAGTCCCCACACTTTATTTTTTCTAAATGTTCAAAACCTTTACATCAATAATCTAGTTGCTTACAATTTTGCCTTCTATTTGCAATACTTACCTGTCAAGGCCAAAAAAATTGTAATCTAATGTGTAATTACTCGACAGTGACCATTTTTGTTAAAAAGCATGAAGTTCGATTTCCATATGTTTTTCGGGTGTGTTCTTCTTATTTTTTACTTCCATGTGTTCTTCATCTTTAATTAATAACGAAAAACAGAAAAAAAAGATTGATTATATACCTGACAACAATGTGAAAGTGAAGTTGAATTGGCCCAAGCTGGTCGTAGTTAACGAGAGTTCTGTTTCCTTTCACTGTATGACTTTATTTTACTTAAAAACTTTATAATTACTTTATAATTATCAACAAACGCAACAGAATAATCCTGGAATTTATGAGGAAAAATCAATGGAACCGGAACCGGAAGTGCCCTCCCTCAATGTCAAACTGGAGGAGTGGGGAATACATATAATGAGACATTATGTAACTATTGTCGGCAAGGCACATGCACTTTCAGTAAGCCCCTTTGTCATCATAATCTCAACCCTAACTTACACGTATGGAAGAAGATAGACCGGAGTGTGAGACAACTTTTCCAGCAGCAGAATCTAGCGGAACTAGAGGAAGACCTAGTTACCACATGGAAAAACATTCAATAAATGAATTTTTCTTCACTAGTGTGACCTTTTTGAGGAACGGTTGTCTTGCTGTGAATTCGTTTGAACGGAGGTTAATGCAGTATTTAACGTTGTGATTTTTTAAATTCTAGGGTGCCTTAACGTTTCTGCATATTGTGTTAATGTGCTTCAATAAATATAAATTAAGTGCCAAAAATTGTTTTGCTACTTTTTTATCCTGTATACATATTAAATCAAACTGTTAAAATATTTCAATATAATAGCGGTGTAAAGCAAAAATCTGCTTGGGGACTTAGAAATTTTGACTAGTATACAATTGATCCCTAAAGATTTATTTTAATATATTTATCCAGTTATAAGGGGGTGTATAAAAAAGAACTGCGAACGATAGTATTGTTCTCCCACCTACCTCCAAGTCAATTTTCAAAAGTACACCCCCCACCCCCGTGTCACAAAAATTCCTTTTTACAGGTAGTATGGAATGTTATTTCAAAAATTCATACCAAAGCTTTTTGTTTGACACGGGGGAATGTATGTTTATTGACCAAAAAAACGATAAAAATGCTTATTTTCCACCAATATCAAAGCGATTTACAACCGAAACATAATATTTCATTAATATATTTATGTTTTTTTATTTGCCTAAAACATAAGGAAAGATATGAAGAACATTTAATTATTTCCAAAACAAAGTATGGTGATGCTTGAAACTCCGATTTCAATGGAAAATATCGTCTACCCCACCCCTCCCCCCTTTTCAAGAGCTGGAATTATGGATAATTCAAACCATCACTAACCATTGAATTCTTTGAGTTCTTTATATTAAACAAAGATTTTATGGCTAAATTGCTATTTATATTGAATTGAATGGTTCCAAAATATAGGCGGGAATCAAGAGTAAGCGTGCGTATTTCTTTATCATTATATCAGTAACTTGATCCGAAGAGCCGTATCCTCCGCCCCAGCCCGGGGTTGAACTCTCGACCTTCGGAATCTGTCTCCTAGCAATACAGGAACAGCGCGTTAGACCACTCGGCTATCTAGGCAAGTCAAAAAATGCTTTCAATGCCGATGGAATTCTCACAGCGCTGCCCTATACTACAAGATCATTAAGAATAGAAGTGATGTACAGTTATTTGGACACAAGTTTTATTAGAGAATCGGTTGCCCGTGTGGCGCAGTGGTTTAGAATGTCTGCTCTAGAGTCGCGAAGTAAGGAGTCAATTCTTACGTCGCGGGTTCGAATCCCACTGTGGGACATGGAGACCGGTCCTTCGGATGAGACCGTATAAACCGGCACGAAAAAGATCCCTCCCTGCTCAATGGCCCTGAGAGCCGAGTATAGGACAAAATTTGCAGCTCTCCACCGGCAAGTGGTGGCGCCTCCATATGAGTGAAAAATTCTCGAGAGGGACATTAAACAATATACTATCAATATTAGAGGATCGTTACCAATACATGTTGTATGAATTTAATTTTATTTATAAAACACAATTTACAACAGCTTAAACCAAAATTGTATTGCTAGGAAACAGATTCCGTAGGTCGAGAGTTCAACCACGGACTGGGGAGAAAGTGGGTATAATTCATATACTGTGGACCTTCAGATATCCGGACGCCAGATATACGGATGCTTCAGTATCTGGACGATTTTTCATCAGAACGGAATTTTTTAAACGTTATTTATCTTGTTTAACTGATAATTCAGGTATCCGGATGCTTCACATAACCGGGCAAATTAACTAATAACCAAAGCGTCCGAATAAACGAGGCTCCACTGTCTGAGTGAATTTCTTTGTACTTTCTATATTAATATTCCTTCACTTAGGACAGTTATGTTACTTTAAGAGCTTATTGTATTATAAAAGTTTTGTCCAAGTCAAAGTTGCCCTATCTTAACTTTACATTGAAAACGGTAAACAGAAAATTATTTTTCCTACCTTGGCAAATCGCACCATAGTAACCATCATCGCACTCCAAACATTTAGAAGAATTGAAGCACAGCTTACAACCTTTAGGACAGTTCTGGTCACACTCACTACCGTATTTACCGTTACTACATCCATTCAAACAGTCCCCATTCATTTTACACATGTTATTTATGCAAGCGTTGTTACATTGATATTGACATCGTTCCCCATAAAAATAGGACTTTTGACATTTCGTGCACATATCATTTGATTCACATGATGAACAGTTTTCGGGACATTTATAGCACTTGGATCCATTCATAAACCATTGATCACCACATTTTAGACATTCTATCTTTCCTGTATCCCGTCGCTGGACACAGTGTGTACAACTTCTTATTGCAGCGCTGCATTGCTGGTAACATTCCTTTCCAAACCATCCATCTTTACACCCAAAAGAACACGTCTGATTTTTAAAACATGTTAATTCTAAACAGTTTTCACTACAAACTTCTGTACAAAAAGGGCCGTATTTGCTAGCAATACATTGTTCACAGTGCCCTGTATCTCTGTTACATTGTCTCTGTAAGTCACAAAAATCGCTACATTTCTGTTTACATTTGTTGCCATAGTATCCTGTCGAACATGTATGACAATATCCTGATTTTATTTCACAGGATTTATTACCTCCACATGAAATTGGACATTCTTCAGAACACGTCAGGCCATAATAACCTTGTTTACAACTAACGCAGATGAATTCTGTTTGTTTACATAGATTGCAATGTCTTGGACATTGGCCGTTACACTTATTTCCCCTATACCCGGCCTTACACTCTTTACAATCACCGTCATCTCTATCACATGTATCGCCTTTACAATTCAAAGGACATGTGAGATTACAGAAACGACCATACATATTCCGTGGACACTTTGCACACAAACCAGTGGTTTTATCACAACTTTCATTGCAATTCCCCAAACACTCATCATTACAGTATTTGCCATAATAACCATCAACACATGACAAACAGGAACCCGTTGTTTGATTACAGTATCTATTTAAGCAATTTGAAGGACACTCCATTGAACAATTTTCAGAATAAAAACCTCTTTTACATGAACAATATCCAGACGTCTTATGACATTGATCTTGACAACCAATTGAGCAGTTTTTCTCACACTGGTCCCCAAAATGTCCATTTTTGCATCCAAAACAATCACCGGTACTAGAGTTGCAGCCATTCTCATCGCAGAATGAAGAGCATGTTTCGCCACAAGACTCTCCATATAAACCTTTTTGACAAACACAATCTCCCGACGTTTTGTCACATTCCTTGTTGCATCCTGATGGACATATATTACTGCAGTTTCTTCCGAAAGTGCCTGTTGTACAATCTACTTTTCCAAAGCAATTAAAACTGAATTCATTTTTTGAAAAATGACCATATTAAAGATGGAAACATTTTTATATGTTTTTATCTTCAAAGAATTCTCTGTTTTGATTGTTAATAAAATAAAAAAAAAAACAATAACATTTACTGGATACCATAGAATAGCTAGTAATTTTTAGGTCATCTGAGTAAACTCAGGTGACCTATTGCTATCTGTTTTCGTCCGTCGTCGTGCGTCGTCCATCGTCAGTCGTCTATCGTGTGTTAACATTTGAACATTTTCAGCTTCTTCTCTGCCACTGCTCAACCAATTCCAACGAAATTTAGCATAAAGCATCTATGGGTAAAGGGAAATATAAATTATGTATTTCATGGTCCCTGTCCCACTGGGCCTGGGGGTGGAGCCAAAACCACTAAAATTAATGCAATCTTTAAAAATCTTCTTCTTTTCTCCTGGACATCAAGCAGTCAAATTGTTAACATGAATTTAATGACCATTGAGTCCTCTACCAAAATTTTGAAATTTATGGCCCAGGGGTCAGGGGTTGTAGTGCTAGGGCGGGGCTCTATTGATTGTATAGTGAAAATGCATTATTTCTTTGAAAATCTTCTTCTCTGCTCCTGGGTATTAAATACACTAACGAAAAAAATAGTTATGAAGAGGAAGAATGCCTTTTCCAAAATTGTGAATTTTATAGCCCCAGAGTCAGGAGTTCTGGTGTTAGGGTGGGGCTGTATTGATTATCATAGTGAAAATACATTAGTTCTTTTAAAAATCTTCTTCTCTGCTCCTGGGTATCAAACAAACTAAGTAAGTACATAGTTATGATGAGCGAGAATGCCTCTTCCAAAATTGTGAATTTTATGGCCCCAGGGTCAGGTTCCTGGTGTTGGGCGGGGCTCTATTGATTATATAGTGAAAAATTGATTATATAGTGAAAATATATGAATTCTTTGAAAATCTTCTCTGCTCCTGGGTATTATGCAGATGAACTACCTGTATAGCTATGAAGAGCAAGGGCCATATTTTCTGAATTGTGAATTTCAAGGCCCCAAAATCAGGGGTACCATAGTGGGGGTTGGGGGGGTGGGGGGGGCTCTACTTATATAAAGCCCATGGGCCTCTTCTTTATTCAGGTATTCTAACAATCGAGTCTGAACAACTTACGCTTCAATACAAATATTGATTAATTAATTATAAATTGAAAAAAAAATATTTTTATCAATTATTCCAAAATTTGTTTATTTCCATGAGGTGTGAAAATGTTACAAAACGTATGTTTGTAAAAATCAATACTTAATTTTTTATTCAGTGGTTTTTGTTCAAGACACATTTCGTACTTCCCCATTATGGGGGGGGGGGGCTCTACTTATATACTGAAAATGAATTAATTAATTGAAATATGCTCCTTGGTATTAATAAAACATTTTTGATAAGCTAGGGTGCCTTTTCCAAAATTGTGAAATGTCTGGACCAAGGATTAGGGGTTCATGTGTGGTAGTGGCACTACTAATTATTGCTAAATATTACTGATTAGTCGAAATGCATTTTTTTCTTCCCCTACTTTATATATGGATAATAAGTAACCAAAGTAAGCATCCTAAGTGTATAGTTATGATAAGCAAAGTGCCTCTTTCAAAATTGTGAATTTTTACAGCCTAGTTTAACAGTAACCAAATTCAAGATTGGAAAGTTGTTGCATGATGCTCAGGTGACCTATAAAGCCCATGGGCCTCTTCATTATATTATTCAGGTATTTTCAATCGAGTCTCAACATACTATTTGTTCAGATACAAATATTGATTAATTAATTATAAATTGAAAAAAAAATATTTTTATCAATTATTCCAAAATTTGTTTATCTCCATGAGGTGTGATAATGTTACAAAATGTATGTTTGTAAAAATCAATACTCAATTTTTTATTCAGTGATTTTTTTCAAGTAACACATTTCGTACTTCCCCATTATGCACAAATATAAGAGTCAACGGTCACATTTCATGCTGTATCTCTTGATTATATTTTTCTCTACTTTGGAGGTTAATGAAAACAGAAATTATTTCATTTTTTCTGCATATACCAAACAGCATTTAATCAAAAAATATCCAAAGTCTTAATTTAAAATTGATATCAACATACCTAATCTTTGGATTTCAAAAACCTGTAATGTGGGATTTCCTTCAGATACAATTTCGAGATATTTCCCGGTAAGAGGTTCACTACATTTCATCTTTATGGTTCTTTCTATGTCCTCTTCAGTGTGTAATAAGGTGTCACAAGTCACTGCAGGTTCACGTACATATTCCCTCTCCTTTACATAGAATGTGCACTTCGTGTTTCTTCCTGCAAATTCAATCACAGATAAGCAAAGCCAACTTTCAGAGTGTCATTTACATTATATCAGATACAGGTATACTTACGAAGGAATAAGGTAACGTCTACTTCATCAATTTGTGTTGCATTTTTAAGCTGGATTCGTACAAATGGTAACTGGCTTGAATCCGTTACAGATGTTCGTAGATCATCATCCAGTATTTTAGAATGTGTGTTTTCTTCAACATCAGCTTGATATAAAGTATTAGCTAAAAGGAAACTGGATAATTAGCATGTTATTCACTTTATAAAGCAAAACAAGCATTTAATTTAAATAGCGCATCTCAGCAACAAAAGTCAGAACATTTTACAAATAAAAACAAACAATCCACACGTAGTCTACATTTTTGGTTTTTATGAGTATATATATTTCCATAAGTCTACTAATGATTTATCATTCATTGGTGCTAAAAAATTGATTATTCTTATCTTCTCACCTTGTGTTTCCAGCCTCAAAATCTTTGTTCACAAGGAACAGGGCTCTGTTTGATCGTGTAGACATACGTAGTACATCTACTTTTTATTTTTTTTAAATTGAATTCATAAATAACCACCGTGTTACCCAGTCAAGAAGACTGAAGCAATCATTTTTGATGACTGATCATACATGGAGTATAATGTCAACTTAATATATAGAGAATAAAGATGAGGAATTAGCTAAAATTGTAAATAGTTAATATAAAGGGGGTGTTTTTCTTCAATAGTTGTTTAAATAAAGTATTGATTGAAGCTGGTGTTGGGGCGTTAACAAGCCATCAAACATGGCAGCCCTAGGGGTTTCCCCAGCATATGTTGCATACCTCTTTAAAGGGGATAGGAATATTTACCACGGGTAATAGTTGTGATATGACTATATATTTTTACTCATCTATGTCAACTCAGAGTATGATATGCAAGTCTAATTAGCTGGAGGCGTACAGTATAGCATTTTTGCATTGGTGATGTACAGTTACATTTTTCCATACGACTGTATTTAACGAGACTTCAGTATTTTTAATATTATATGTTCTTTTCTATATATGCTTTTATGGTTGCTTTACAAAATATGGGTTTTTCTTAACACTTTCGTGTAGTCTATTTTAAAGTTCTTGTAATTGTTTTCTTTTTTCTTACAGGGGATGCTAATTTTATTTCTGCAATATTTAACATGGAAGATAAATGACATTCAACTCTCTGATGATTTCATTTTTCTATGGGCGTGAGGCATATATACATATAGGGGGTGCTTTTCTTCAAAATATGTTGAAATGAAGTATTGGTTGAATCTGGAAAAAACTGGATCATGGTAACAAATTTAAATAAAAAAATCATTTTTCATTTAGAAAGCTCATATCAGAGGCAAAAGTAGTAACAGATAAAACAACCATTCTAAACATAGCTTACTTCTTTGGCATTTATTTCTAACTGATCCACCCCATCCAGGAGAACATTCTGTACATGTTTTGTTACAGTTTACACAGTGACAAACACACGTACCATTACTCAGACATTGTCCTGAAGAATTAAAATCAAAATTTTACCAAATGCAAAATACGTTCTTTTGCTAGACTATTATTAATAAAGCCTGTCTGATACTTCTTTCTCAAAAGCAGATTTAGACGTTTACATGTATCTTTCTTGAATTTTTTATTCGTACATGTATATATGTATTTGGCATTATTTTAAATGTTTTGGCACAATATACATGATATACGAAAACGTTGTATTAACCTGAAAGATCGAGCGAAATAAACATAATTTTCATAAGTTATATTAACTTATATGTTTTCGATATATATATATATTTTTTGCAATATGCTAAGTTTCAGCCAATCAGAAAACTACAGGTAATTATATATTTAAAACAAGATGTGTTTATGAAATACTATGCGTCCGGCAGCAATAAAGTTCGAAAAACGTATTTTTAGCCTATAGGTAACAGTCAAGGTTACACGGTCATTGACCTTGATGGCATTTGAAGTCTCTTATGGTTCCAAAGTAATGGTGAAAGTTCGAGAAAGGTATTTTAGCAGGTCTGAGCAGGTGTCATGAAGGAGTGAGCATCCCCTACCGACTGGTCACACCCACCCTGTGTTCCTTGTCATGATTGAGAAATAACGGGAAAATAAAAGTAAGTATTATGAAAAAGTTCGATTCACTTGAAAGACAATTAGAAACTTAAAAAAGCTACCGTAAAATCTTTGCATTGAATTCAGTCTTTCGCAGTAAGTATTATATGCATGTATAAAGACATTGTATTCAATTTCAACCTTACAACTAAGAATTGATAAATAATTTAACTCAGATGAAATCCTTGATGTTAAAAAGCAAGCATTTCTTTATACATAAATTAAGTGTCTACATACCTTTGGATATTTTGACTACTACAAATTGAATTATAATCAGGAATCCCAGAGTATTTACCTAGAAAAAAAATGTTTATGAAATACATGTATGATCCATTTCATCTATACGTGTGATCCTAATATAATCGAAATTGAATTCAAAATGTTTAATGCTCCATTGTTCAATTTTTTAAATACTTCTTCAAAATCAGATTTATTTCAGGTACATGCAAGCTTTAAGTGAAAAGTTCGACCGGAAAACATTCAGTAATATTATTTGTAAAAAAAAAAACTTACTTTCATGTTTTCACACGTTCAAAATTATATCCTAAATTATCAAAACCCAAAGTAGCTTTTCTATTCTGAAAGCAAAATGAAATCGCATACAAATATGTCCCTCCGTCAGCTTCCTTAGTTATTAATGAAGAATGATTGTAATGGACTGGTAATTGATCACTGAGTTGACTCAAATATTATTTGTGTTATTTGGAGAAATAAAAAACCATCACAAGATATAACCACTGAGAGAAAAGTGTCACTTTCTATATGAGTGCTCTCTAAAGGTTTAAAGAAAATTGAATAAAATCTTGTTTTTATTGTCAAGAAACGAATATGGTTCCTTGTAACACTGAATTTTTTATTAGAATTATTTTCGCTTCTAGAGTATTTTTTGTCAAAGATCTAATAATTCATCACAAAGTTAAAACAATTAAGAATGAAAATCACGGAAGAACGCAATATTTTCTGGGAAATGAATAATGGCGGAGGTTCCAGAATATTCAGTATATTGTTGACACGTTTTCATCTGCAATGTTGTGATGGTTTGTGGAAGGGTTAATTGTTTAAAAAAAAAAAAAAAAAAAAAAAGAAGAAGGAAAAAAAGAATGATGCACCCAGAGATGCGTCTTACACGGTACATCTACAGCCGTTTGTCTTTACGGAAAATCTATCATGTACTATGACCTATTTCTGATTAAATTCCTTTCTTTTGTTTATTAGTATGTGAAAATTTAGGTCCATTTACTAAAATTTTGAAAATTTACAACGATTTTTACGATGCAGTCATACGATTCACGGAGCAATCAATTGACGCTAAATGGAGTGACAACCAGATCTTAAACCAGTTAAGCTTTTCATTAGCTCTAAATACTTTTCATTTCTTTAGTCGTTTTTTCTACTGCCGAATTAAATACATGTATCTATATCAAAACATGTCACTCTTATTCTATAATGTCTTTTGTATTGTTTTGGATATTAGTGAGATCTTAAAATAGATGTCTAGGCAGATAAGCAATCAGGTATGGAGACAATGCAAAATCGATGTCATAGGATTCATGGAGAAATCAATTGACGTTAAATGAAGTGACAACCAGATCTCAAACCCGTTAAGCTTTTCATTAGCTCTAAATACCTTTCATTTCTTTCGTCTTTTTTTTCTAATGCCGAATTAAATACATGTATCTATACCAAAACATGTCACTCTTATTCTATAATGTCTTTTGTATTGTTTTGGATATTAGTGAGATCTTAAAATAGATGTCTAGGCAGATAAGCAATCAGGTATCGATACAATGCAAAATCTATATGCGCAACTTCCATGCAATAAGTGGGGTACTGAGATATCTCAAGAGTTCATCATTAAAAATGTTAAGCCCTTTATTTTTATAAAGCTATTACTATTTAAATACTTTTGTCCTTTGTACGTATATAAAATTCCCAGCAACATCTATAAAAGAATTTTAGTCTATTTTTTTTTTTATATTTTCCTGTGGTCTGCACACATACATTGTAGTAGCTCGATGCTCCATTAAGTTCAATGACGTCCCCATTCTTGGCTTTGTTTTTACGTGTTGATTACATTTAAATGGCTATAAACAGTCCTCTAATTTAATTAAAAATTTTGACAAGAGAAGTTTCATGAATACTGAAGCGATTGGTAAAATATCAAGATTATTTTTGCGCTACAACTTTGTAATTTTTAATTTCATTAAAATGCGTATGTAATGTAAACGTGCGAAAAAGGAGCATGCTCCGTGAAGCATTTTGTATCAAATAATATAGCTGTATATTTTTAAAGGAGTACTGGAAAACACCAAATCTTTGTATATTTGTTAGAAAATAGGTAAGGTTTTTAACTGGAGAGTTTTACCGGTTTCATTGAAATAGCGCGCTCACAATAGAACTTGTCAGCGAACTTTTCGTACAGCCCTCGTAGATCATTTATCAAGCAAATGAAATAAACAAATGATTATGTAAGCTAGAAATAGATCACAAATATGAAAGATGATAAAGCATATATGAAAAACAAATTAATTAATATATGCAGATTTATTAGTATTTCCTATCAAAATCATAACAAGAGGCCCATGGGCCACATCGCTCACCTGAGAAGCTTTGGCCATTCTGTTTTTTACCAGATTTCCAATTTGTAATTACATATTGTGACCCCATCCTACCCCATTGATCATAATTTAGACAATTTGAAATCTACTCTACCCCAGGATGCTTCCACATAAGGTTTCAGCTTTTCTGGCCCAGTGGTTCTTGAGAAGAAGATTTTTCTTAAAATTTCTAATATATTTCTATGTAAAATTTGGATTCCCTATTGTGGCCCCGCCCTACCCCCGGGGGTCATGATTTGAACAATTTAGAATCTACACTACCCCAGGATACTTCCACATAAGTTTCAGCTTTGTTCTTAAGAAGAAGATTTTCAAAGATTTTTCCTATATAGTTCTATGTAAAACTTGGATTCCCCATTGTGGCCCTGCCCTATCCCCGAGGGTCATGATTTGAACAATTTAGAATCTACACTACCCTAGGATGCTTCCACATAAGTTTCAGCTTTTCTGGCCCAGTGATTCTTGAGAAGAAGATTTTCAAAGATTTTTCCTATATATTTCTATGTAAAACTTGGATTCCCCATTGTGGCCCCGCCCTACCCCCGGGGGTTATGATTTGAACAATTTAGAATCTACACTACCCCAGGATGCTTCCACAGAAGTTTCAGCTTTACTGGCCCAGTGGTTCTTTAGAAGAAGATTTTTTAATGACCCCACCCTATTTTTGTCTTTTCTTGATTATCTCCCCTTGTGAGGGAACTTGGCCCTTCATTTTAACAATTTAAATTTCTTTTTACCCAAGGATGCTTTGTACCAAGTTTGGTCAAAATTGGCCTAGTGGTTCTTGAGAAGAAGTCGAAAATGTGAAAAGTTTACAGACGGACGGACAGACGGACGGACGGACGACGGACAAAATGTGATCAGAAAAATTCACTTGAGCCTTCGGCTCAGGTGAGCTAAAAACTAACAACTAATTTGTATGTATCTGGCACCTGGGCAGGTCTGTTTATTGGACGCATCTATTGGACAGGTGAGTATTTCAGCCCGAGGTGTGTCCTGTACTCGGACAGGTCTAGGACAGGTAAGTACGAAAGACCAGAAGGCCCATTTGTTATGAATATATTCAACGATTTCTTGATAGTAAACACATAATAAAGGAGAGTAATCAAATATTGAACCCGCTTTTGATTGGTTAGTCTGGATCTTGAATCTCGAAACTAGAATTTTGAATTTCGAATTTCGAATCTCGTATTTTGAAACTCGAATCTCGAATGAGCCTTCTGGGCTTTCGTAGGTAAGGGTCTCCGAGTTTCTGTCCTATACACAGAAAGTTCTTAAGAATAATAGCACATTCTTAACGTAGTTCATCTCTTTGTTTATTTCTTTTAATTCTAACTGACCCACCACATCCAGGCAGACATTCTGTACACGGTTCTGTACAATCCACACAGTGACAAACACATGTAGCATTACTCAGAAATTGTCCTGATAAATTGAAAACAATATTGACCAAAACAATGAAGCAGATGTTAAATTGGACACTTTTTATGATTTGAGGTATCGAAATTGAATTGTGAAATTTTCGATAAGGTACAGGAAATGGGTATGGTTCTTTGTTACACTGAATATTATATTAGGATTTTTTTCGCTTCTAATGTATTTTTGTCAAATATTTAATAATTCGTTAAAAAGTTAAAACAATTACAACTATTGCTGTTTATAGAACAAAACACGAGAAAACATTTTACATAATTCATGTACTCCAATATTTATTTTACCCTAATAATCACCAGAAAAATGCAAACCGTATAAACACTTGTTTTTGAGATTAATACGGTTATTTACCAACCCGTGAAGTAAATCACACCCCTTTTATTAATATTTTTATTTAATCGGTAAATTAATTGATTTTATGATAAAAATGAGTTTTTTTTTAGACAAATGAAAATATAAGTGTATGTGTTCTAATAATAATTATATTAATAAATATAAATAATAAATATTATTAATACACGAATTTACAAATAAACGAATCATTATGTTACCCGAGGTACTAAAAATTCAAAACAAAAATAAGAGGGATTGATTGATTGATTGATTGATTGATTGATTGATTGATTGATTGATTGATTGATTGATTGATTGATTGATTGATTGATTGATTGATTGCACATGTATTTTGTTTTACCACCCGGTCGAGAATTTTACAGACGTCGCCATAAATCTGCGAAGGGCTTCAAATTTAACTTTTTATTGCTACGAAGCAGTCGTACCAACGCCTGTAGTGACACAAGGCCTCGGTTTTTAAGGTTTCATCCGAAGGATCCGCAACTTTCATTTCAAAAGTGCCGAGCATTTGGACTAAAGACGGTTGGTTCCTATTTTCCATAGGCTGAGGGTCAGACGCGAATCTGATCGCCTCAGTCGCGGCCATGATTCGAACACACTGGAAGAACACTAGCTATTCCAAAGACGTATAATCATTCGATTTTTAACAAAACAGAAAAACATACCAAAATTGAAAAGTGAATGTTTCATTGTAAACAAAGATGTTTTTCCCATTGAAGCGTTCGCATTTTTGAGCTTCGCAGTTTTTATTTATATCTAAATGCAACTTTTAAAGTGATGTATACCTCTCTACCAACATTTCTATAAAATAACTTGCCATTTCAACAAAAACAAGACTCTATGCCTAAGATACTCCATAAATGCATTATTGCGATCGAGAGTGTTATTTGATTAATGGTATAAAAAAGATTATCACTGAATAACTTGGTAATACCCAATAATATTTCAGCAGTGTGTTTTATATAAATTATGTGAAACAACATTTGCTGTACATAAACAGATATATTGATAGCTCAAAGCCCATTTTTAAAAATATAAATCAGGTATTAAGCGCCAAATAATAGTGAGCATTCCCTGCAAACCGATCACATCAGCCGTGTACTCGATGGACAGGAAGAACGGGGGAAATGGGTTTGAATAGTACGGCAATAACAATTAGTATGAAAAATTTATTTCAGTCATTATTTAACTCATTGATAGGTATAATTAACTGAAAATGACATTGTAGCGACCAAAATAAAACTTGCAAAAAGATGACTTCAAACAAGACTGTTGGTATTCTTATTTCATAAATCTGTTTGTCATTAGCTTGCTACTGTGTATGGAATCATTTAACCCCATATGCAGGAGATTAGGGTACATAGCTATATAAGTTAATAAGGAAATCTTACGATTAAAAAACGAGGCCGCCATGTTTATCATTTTGTTTTGCTTCTCGTTACCATTAAAGCTTTGAATATCTTTCAATATTACCCTTTCGATAGTGGTTGTAATGAGGAATCCTTCGTATGGATAAACGAAATTCCCACTGTCCCTATATCCACTATCTAGCAAAACCACAGCCAAGTGAACAGGCCTGGTAAACGTGAAAGAACCTCTCATCAATACAATATTGAAATAGTTACTTTAATAACAGTTGTTATTTTAAAAGTATTGTGATTAGTTGATACAATGTATCGTTTGTTTTGTAGAGCATTTTTAACGACTTCTGGAATAATTATTTCAATAGTAGACACAACATGTTGCAAAATTATTGTTGATTATCCAGCAATTAGATACAATTGTTAAAATTATCTCCGAAATTTTAAAAGGTATACATTTAAAGCCATACATCAACTAAAAGACATCCTCCCCTCTACCATTTAATGTGTGGGTCATAGAACTTGTCTTTGAAATGGCCAATTTTTATGTGAAATAAACAAAATCTTTCTACATCATAACTTACACATTTTACCTATATACTCGTGAAAACAAACCTTTGTCACCAATTAAAACTGAACTATAAAAAGGGATCCAAACGTTTTCATCTAAAAACAATTACGTACAATTTATTAAATATGTTAAATGTTTCTTTCGAATATCGGATTTGAGAGTGTGAATGTAAACTGAATTAACTGTTAACTGAATTTTACCTCGTCTATATAATAAGTATAAAAAGTGGCTTCATTGAAACATTTCAATAAATTGCAAACACATTAGTCTTAAATACAAGCACATTTTATTTAGCCATGTGCTAAATTTACATTTAAAAAAGTCTAAATAAACTTACTTTTATGCCTTTATTCTCCCGAACATTTCGCAAATATCATATGAAACAGTGTGCTTTCGGTTCTTTAATATAGCTGGCAACTTCCGTATATTTTTGAGTCACTAAATTTACCTAATTTATAAGCCTCGAGTACCTCAATAATCTGAATGTACAAACTAATTTTGTAGAGTATACAGGTTTAAAAATAGCTGTTACAAAGATATTGAAAAGTATTGATATTGAAAAAAGAGAAGAAAGTGGACCTTTTATCCCAAATTCAATTTACATTTTTTATAAAAGCACAAATGGTTGTAAAGATATGTACAATATACTCATCAAGAAGAAAAAGCAAACAATTAAAGCATTAGAAAAGTGGGAAAATAATGGAATATCTTTGGCGAGTTAGAATGGAACAAACTTTTTGAACTACCATTTAAAGTTTAAAAAGCGGCAAAAGTTCAGTGGATGCAATTTCAAATCCTGCACAGGATTATTGCAACAAATATATACCTATACAAACTTAAACTAATTGAGTCACCTGTTTGCTCATTTTGTAAACAAAAGTTGAAAAAATAGAACATTTATTTTTTTAATGTTTCTGTGTAAAAAAAAAAAAATATGGTGTCATAAAGAGGAGTGGTTTATAAAAAAAAATTCCATTTTATTATTAATTTTGATAGAACAGATATACCGTTTGGGAAATTCAACAATAAAAACATGTATAGATTAAACAATAAAATAATACTTACTGTAATTCAATTTATTTTTGCCAGTAGGTTTAAAAATATGCCTAAATTAAGTATTGCAATGCTAGAAAAAAATATTGTAGATAGAATACTAGTTGAAAAGGCTATTTTTTAAAGAAATTGTAAATTTTCAGAATATGAAAAGAACTGGAAAATTATTTGTGATATGCTATAATGTATTTATTTTTTTTCGAATTTATACTCAAATGTACAAGTATGGTAAAATAGTGAAAACTGTTCCCCCACTTCACTTTTTAAAAAAAAATGTTTTTCTTCCTCCACCCTCCTCTTTGTTTACTTCTTTGTATATAAAGCTTTCACAATGAAGGTTCATAATATACACAAATGTCATATATCTTTTGCAGCTTTATGAAATGAACTTGTATTTAGCATTTACCAAAGAGAATTTGTATTAAGTATACAATATAAATTACATGGGAGAAAAATTGAAAGTATGTATTGAATGTAAACAAATCTATTGTACATAGTCTGTAAATATGAAAGCAAAAATAAATTCTATGAATTAAAAAAAAAATTACCAAATTTACACACAATAATCGAAATCATCATCAGTTTGGAACAAATATCAAACAATTATTTATAATATTGTCAATTATTTTATACAGATCAAAAACGCTCGTGTTTAATACAAGTGCATGCGCAATGACTGACGGATTAGAAAAAAGCATTTATATTTTATACGTAAATGAAGCTGAGTATAGAAAAAACCATCCCGTTTTTCATAAAGTTTTGTTATCAGGTTACAAACGACTTTTTTCTTGTAAAATATTCAAATATAAATCTGATGTGTCACACTCTGTGGTATCTGTGGTATTCAGCTTGAAAAGTAGGAAAGTATATAGTGATCAGGATGTACGTCTGTCCGTCTGTATAATCTGTCCTTCTGTCGACCTGTACGTCCGTTCGTCTGTATAATCTGTCCTTCTGTCGACCTGTACGTCCGTCCGTCTGTATAATCTGTCCTTCTGTCGACCTGTACGTCCGTCCATCTGTATATATCTTTCCATCTGTCGACCTGTACGTCCGTCCCTTCCATCCGCAACTCTTATACCACTGAATAAATTTTAACGATGCTTTTACGGAATCTTTGTTACATTGTGCCATTGTGCACCCTCTAATTTCACCTTTTGATCAAACACATATTTCATGCAAAACATGGACACTGCCATCCTTTGTGTAACATTGAAGGGTACTCATCTCTTATCCGCAAATCCCCCTATACCATTGAAAGAAATTTAATGATACTATAACAGATTTTCCATTACATAACGCCATTGTTCATCTCCTATTTTACTTTTTGAAATGACACATTTCTTGTCTGTAAGAATAAAATTTTGTAAGCTTCCTCAGCACCCTGTTAAATGCCAATCAGCTTACAGTGTTTCCATCCCGTGTAAATTCAGTTAATTATCTTTTATCAGGACTACTCATGACATCCGTCCACATATAAAAAGGGGGACATCCTCAGCCCGTTGCATGTATTTAAACACCCTAAATAATTTACTTCACATCCTTGTAAATCATAACCAAGTTCCATTTCTCGTTTCAAATATTTCATTTAATAAAGACTTCAATGAAATATAACAAAACAATCAGTACATCTATATGAGTCTAAGTCCTAGCTTAACATCTCTGGACTAAAAAAATACAGTGGATTGCGGTGTCCGTGCGGTGGAGAAATTATACGTTACTTAATTTGTATTAGTTTACATTGTTTTCTCATACCCAAGTTGCTAATAATTTATAGTCAGTGGTGTTGATGACGTAATATGATCTGATCGTTATGATCGTCGTTGTGAAACTGACGTTCGCTCCTCGTATATATATCCTTCTATAATGGTCACGTGATCACAACAACCAATGAATAATTGTCCTTTCTGGAGCCTCTCAGAACTACTTTACATACAAAATGTGTAATACAAAGAAAATAACATCGCTCAAAATGTCCTTTCTACATGTAAAGTAGGAGCTATAAATTCTATTCGATGTACATAATAAAATAAGTTCAACAAACAATCTGTAATAAAACGGACACACAATCCGTGGCGTAGTAATATATACCGAACAATAATGCATACACATAAGTCTTACGCTACACATTCAAGTTCCAAAATATTTCGTCAAAAAAAAATAATTAAATGGCAATACTGCAATAAAATAACATTTAATTATCAATTATGAATATTTGAGGACACGGACAGTGTTATTTCGATCTTATCAATTGTAAAACAACAATGTTTATGTGTCACATGACTACTTCCTTCGTAAGAAAGATGGCAAGCGCCCAATTTACAACACATGTGATAATGCTGAAATAAGTAAGTAAATTACAGTCGTAATATGGTAGATAATGATGAAAAACTGACATACAGCAACTCAGTATAACTGTCTCTTACTGTCTATTCAACAATATCTCACTAGATCGTGTAGTAATACAAAAACAGCATTTGTTTACATAACAATGTCGAAGTGCAATGTGTATTGCATCAATAATTCAGGTAAGCAATAAGATAATGAAATAACATGAACAATAAAACATTTCTTATAAATTTACAACTGGATGCTACTTTAATTCACTAAAAAACACTCCACCATCAGCCTGTCAGTGTAATTGATATGCAAAATTCTAAAGTCCAACCCCCATGCATATTACAATATGGTATTATTAATTGATAGTATCTAAATATCTTATATAAAGAGGTTCGCTCCCGGGCTTTTAAACAGATTTTTGTCTTTACCTCTATTAAAAATAGTCTGCATAATATTTTAATTTTTATAAAGAATATTAAAGGAATCTCTAATGCTAATAAACTATTTTCCATTAAAACCCCATTATAAAAGCCCATGATGAAAACGTTTAGAGAGGAATTGTACTTTGTTGAGGAGGGTTTTTTTTTGTAAGAAAAAGACCATCATGATGTTTTCCTCCTTTGAAGTATTTAGGATTGTGAAGTTTGGAATCCTATTTTTACATGCAGCCTGCAAACTGAGTAATCATGTGAGGTAATATGTTCTATTTGGTCCTAAATTATTTATTAAATTGCCCAATATGGCAAATATATCATATTTATCATGAAAGCAGTTGGAAACTGAGCAATGAGCTCACTAAATGACACCCCGCCTCCCATATGTATAGCACGCCAAATTCACAAAAATTAGCTAAACATAGTTTCCACAGTCGATAAACTAGGTTTATCGGTTGTAAACTATAGATTACGGACTGTAAACTTCAGTTTACAATATTAATCTATATTTTACATCTCTAAACCATAGTTAATGCAATAATCTATGTTTCAGAATTGTAAACTATACTTAACACTGAAAACAATCATTTGCGATTGCAAAACATAGATTATCTGATAAATACAATTTCAAGATTTTAAACTATGGTTTACAACTCTTAACTATACTTAACAATCTGATAAATATAGTTTCACGATTTGTGAAACTATTGTTAACTACTCTTAATTATAGTTAACGATTGTAAATTATAGTTTACAGACGTAAATCTATGTCCATCGTCAAAATCTATTATTAACGTTTTATTACAGACAAATAAACGTAGATTAACATTCGTAAACTATAGTTAACAACCGTTAAATATAGTTTTACAGAATGAAAACTAGAGTTAACGAATTGTTAACTATAGTTCACGGTTTGTAAACTATAGTTAACATCGGTAAACCTAGTTTATCAACTGTGAAACTATGTTTAGCTCATTTTTGTGAATTTTGCGTGCCATACGTATGAATATAATGAAGTGTCAATGTTTTGCAGTTGGAAACCTAAAATTTGTGTCGGATCATAAAGTAAAATAGAAGGTGCACAATGCCATTATGTAATAAAAATTATGTGAAAGTTTCATCAAATTTCATTTAATGGTACATGTATAAGAGGAGTTGCGTATAAGCCATAGGTACCCAAAGCGTAACAGACGGACGGATGTAGAGACAGACAGATGGACGGGCGGACATACCGATTACCATATAACCACCCACTTTTCAAGCTGGAGGAGGGGGTATAAAAATGGTCCAATTTAAGCTTGGAATTAGCACCATTTTTGTAGTATCTAAAATTAACATCACAGCCTCTCACTTTTTATTTCATTTTCCAAATACCCGGTATATACGATAATTTTAACCATTCTACTCAAATTTGAAAAAAAATAAATTCCTTTCAAATACTTTTATTGATTTTTTTTTAATTTTTAACAGTAGAAAAATAACATTTTTAAATGCAGAAAGGTCGAATTATAGACTATGCAAAGTAAG